GCCAGGAATTCAAAAGTCTGGAACCTCAATTGCTTCTTCGTAGAGGCTCCCGTCCTGCAAGAGGGAGGTGGAACAGAGTAAGCTTTCTCCATTGCTGCAACTTAGCAAGACTCATTTTACCTCTACTGCAACAAAGAGCAGTCTGACAACCACCCTAGATTACTGCCTACCTCTGGAGGCTAAATATTTGTCAGTTGCAATTCTCTTCCCACAAGCTCCCCCAGCATCTCAAGGAGTGGTGCACAAACCACAGAGATTAGTCCCGAAAAATTCCGGAACATTCATCAGCGTCACTCCAATGCTTTGACAACACAGTGTACCCCAGATATAGCCAAAGCCCCCATTCTCGGTTAAATGCCTCCATCGGTGGCTCAATATTCAATCTTTTCGAATTTAAAGTGAATCCAAGATTACAAGCTCACACATTGCTCACCCGATCGCGGCTCCGGTCAAAATATTTTGCCTTTCGATGTGCCTGCCTTGGCTCAGTCGACCATTTGTTGACCGGTGCAGAATGTGCACCTGTCTAGAACATGCGTATAATATATGCCAACTTCCATTTTTGTGATAGCAGAAAGAAACCACACCGGACAGGATGAATGTCCGCTGCATTTGCCTTCAATGCTCGGTTTGTCTTTTTGAAAGCGAAACACCAACCTCAAGCAAGTCACGCAGTACGGAGGTTTGTGCTTTTTATGGGAGATTCCCTGCATCGGGTGGAGAGAGTGCACTCCCTTCATTCCACTCTTTTCAGATACACCATGCGTGATATCCACGGGGATTTATTGCACCTCAAGAGACTGTAGAGCTGTGGATCCCTGTTTCTGAATAACTTCATCTATGAATAGCATCTCTCCATAGATTGTCACTCCAGCAGGCAACCTTAATAAGGGAAGTGGGCTTCGAAACACTACGCCCAACGACTGCTGTACAGAGTCTTCGCAAGCGCTGTTCACTCATAATTAACAAATAAAAACAAAAATAAAGTCCAATGAACAGAGTGCATTACATCTTTTCCCAAAGGTGTCTTTAGCATGCATTTACCGCACTCAAATTTTGCGAGTGAATATTTTGTAAAAGAATGCATGAAAAGGAGCAAGTGTTATTTCTGTGCGCAAGAAGAACAACAGAAACATCTGACTGCCACTGCTACTCAGATGGCAGCACATGGAACGAAGAATTGAAAGCTTTTTTGAGATGAACACCCGAAAGCAGATCCAGGCATCTGTAACAGTATCAGCCAGATGTTTTATTTCCGTTTTTCTCCCTGTGTACCGGAATAACACGTGTTTCTCGCATTTTTTTCTCCAGAAATTACTCGCGAAATTTAAGCAGGATAAATGTACCAGCCAAAGACTCCTTTGAGGTTTTATTGTGCTCCAATCAATCATTTATCTAAACATTATTTATTTTTCAACTGAATAGCACTCCCTAACACCCATTAGATAGATCTTTTTAGAAGGCTTTTCAAACTACCAGTAATGAAAGCTTAATCGCACAAGTACAGTTAGACATCTTTATGCGCACAAGTCCTTCCCCGTTCCTGAACGACTGTTCAGGTAGAGAAAAGCCTACTTCTTAGGAAACATTCCCGTCCATGTACTGGGCTTTGGTATTTGCTAACCAATTATATTGGTCATGAAAAGAGACCAATATTTCTGTTACCGCCAATTCCTGATTACTGCAAACAAGAGAAACAGAAGCGAACCAAAATTAGAAGCTTGTCACCAAAAGCCATTTCATTTCCGTTCTTTCACGTAACACGTCTGCACTCTCTGAGAGCGTCAGCACGCACACACATTCATCCCTTTCTCCCAAAGTAGAGAGACTGTCGACCCACCCTCAACCTGCGCAGTAGTGTAAATCATGATGGGTCACACCATCCTTGTGCCAAGTGCGTAACAGCCCCAGATGTAAAATTGGTTATTGTGTACACTTGAATGGCAATGCCGACATTGATTTCCTCTAGTTTCTGCGAGGTCATAACTTCCTTAGGTTTATCTCGCTTAAAAGAAGGATGTTTAAAAAATTAGCTAGCGTCATTTGTCTGTGGGAATGTGGAGGAACTTTGATAAAAGGAGTAGGGTGTTACGGTAGCAAAGCAGATCCACGTGGCTTCGTTGTGAATGCAACTTCCATGTCTTCAACACCCGACAACTCGCTCCTGTTGCACAATAAACTGACGTCCACCGTCCTGAAATGTGAGGCGTAGGCAAACGGAGCTGGACAATGGCCAGCATTGAGGACCTAGATAAGGGGCAGACAGCACCGCGAGTGGCTGCATAATAAAGTTCATTCCCCTTAGACGCCACCATTCGCCCAAATTTATCGGCAGCCGTGCTGAGCTACATGAGATTGCACGCGTGTGCCGTCCACGAGTACTAGACGACAAAGCGACGCCTCGCCATAAGACCTGGGTCACCGTCAACCCACATACATTCCGATCAGGTGTGACCAGAGTACAGAGGAGTTTTAGCACGCCAAAAAAATCACCTCTGGTGCTACCCACAACATAGCGAGACCTGGGGGCCATGGCAGTCCACGAGCAAAACACAAAGGGGTAAAGAAGCCAGCGGGTGGCTGGGCATACGCCCTAGCTCGGTGCAATTACAGCTGCACAAGCTCATTTCTTGGTTCAGCCACCAAACTAGGGTGTGACCTGAAACAAAGTCCGGTCTCACCATCGGCCTTTTGTCGATAGGGCTCGCAAACGCAATGCCGCCATCGCCATTTCTGGAGGGGCCGCCGCTCACAAGACTGACGGAAGCAACTAAGCTGGCGCCATCACGTCCCTAGTGGCCAAACTACACCCGTGGGGACCACATATGCGTGACAAATTATTTACTTTCCGACTCGCCGCTAAGCTGCCGTAGCCGAACGCTGCATTAGTATTCGGCTCATGTTCCATCAGCGAGGAACCGAGTGAACACGAATCGCATCCGAGCAACAATGGAGCACTCGTGTTTAGTCTGCGTCCCTGCACTGGGTTTGGGCAGATGACGTGAACAATTCGATACCTTGTGCCGAGTGAACGGCAAGCTCTCTAGAAACTGAGCTTGTCATAGTGCCCCCTACATTTTCACCTCCTCGCCAATGTGGTAGATAATGGCTGCAACTTGTCGAAAAAGGAGGGCCACTCTTGTGGCTTAGTGAAATGCTACATCACTTACGCTCCAGTCTCGTATTTCTGGAGCTGCCCACACTATTCTGGAACAAGAATTCCTACCAATTTCGAGAGTTCTCTCGTAATTGGTAGGGGGAAAAAAAAAATTTGTTTTAAAGAAATTGCACGATGCTTGCCAACCAAGCCCATATCGCAATTCAAATGTTGCGATCCTTCTAAAAGAACATGCCACATGAGGCTTGTGCAGGAAAACAAGCATGTTGGCTGGACTGATTCTGCAATGCTAAGATGACATTAGCACCAGACACCACAAAAAGAGAGGTTGGCAAAAATCTGCAGTTAGAAAAATGAAACTTGAAATGGTAACAGAAACTCAAGTTTTATGTTCATGGCACCTTGCGTGTCAAAATACATCAATATTCCCGAGTTTTGCTGCATTTCTCTCCGTACAGTGCCCCGCATTTAACAAACTTCAAGAGAGCCATACAATGGACCAAGCTGCAATCAAAGATGCAACTGTACTGAACCTTCAATGTGCATACTTCATGTGAATTACCGTTACCATTAAGCAGATTGGCCAAAACAACCAGAGGTTTCTTGAAGTTAGGACTAATAAGCACCCTTAACAGCAGCACAGCCTTTGCTCCCCATGCTAGTTAAACGACTAATTAGTGGTAACCATCGTGTGCCTCAGGAGAGAGCACCTTTGGCACTAGTGCCACTAATTAAGCTACACTTCAGAGTAATGACACTTGCCCATCTTGTGGCTTAAAATCATGGTTGCCAGTTATCTGAAATTACAAGAAACTCTTTTCTGTCCTTTAAAAATGTTTAAACAATTCGCAACAAAGCAAAGCTACTTTGCATGAACTTCCTAGCACCAAAACTAATGCTGAGGAAGTCATTTTTTAATGACGATCGGCAGTGTGTATGCTCTGCACAAGCACCAAGGTGGTAGCGCCCAAAACAATATCAAGAACAGAGTGCCACTACGCTAAGCGTAGCTCATCTAGTGGCACCATTTGGCACGAATCTCGATTAGCCCAGGTTAGCCTAACCAGCTGCCTTTTTTTTTGGGGGGGGGGGGGGGGGGGGGGGGGGGGTGGATCAATTACAACTAGGCCAGTCACTTGCATTCATTTTGTTAATTCAAATTAGCTTTCCAAATTATGGTATGTCACCAAAAGCAGATATGCCTTTAGTACTCCGTGGCTTCTCAAACAGCAGACTCATTTTAATCTACCATATGAGAAACAAGCCCAAAAGGCCTCTAGCCACGATTATATTAGAATAGCTTCAAAACTGCCAGTCTACTAAAACCCTTACATCATTTAGGTTATGCAGTGCTAAAATGCCCCAATGTAAAAAGTTGGCTGCATGAGTAAGACTACACGTTTATTCCGAGTGTTTGGCTCATTGAAAACAATCTAGACTTATCCTTACGCAGCCAATAAGCCCCTACCTTGTTGGTAACTACTGAAATTTAGTACAATACCATTAGCAAGAGGATAACAAAGTATTAAGCCTGTCCTTTCAGACACTAGAGAACTATTCAATTTGGTCAGGAATAGCAAGAGCTCAGTGGCAGAATGTGGGACACAGATTGCAGCATGCTGGACTCCCCAAGCCCCCCAGACTAGGGAGAGCAGCCAAGCACAGGAAGTGCGGCCGCCACAGAGAATAAAATTGAGGTCGCATACCCATGAGCAAAACCGACCAGGGTAAGCCATTTGGGATGCCCCAATTAAGGATTTAGGCTTGACGAGAGAGTCTGCCAAGAGGCTCACCGTCCCCTGCCTGTAAGAGAGGAAAAAAGACACGGTTCCAGATCCCGTCGCGCCAAGAATCCTCCCAAGAGAGCACAAGCTGAACAGCGTCAAGGAACACAAATGGAATTTCTTTATTTGCAAGTATTGCTCTCTGTAACTTCACCTGCATGGCATATAGAACCCCGAAAAAGTTACAAGAGTAATCGCTTAAAGAGAACACCAGTTCTATATACCACACATGAAAAAGACTCGTACAAGCTCAAATATAAAACCGCAGAGTTCAATCATCTTTTTTTTTTTGTCTTCTTTATGCTTCAACGTCCAAAAGAGAAAAAAAAACTCAACACTTCAAGAAGGTTCAACCAAGCATCGTCGGGTGGGACTGAGGGAAGAAAAGGAAAAAAAAAAAAAAACCAGCGCAGGGTTTCGGAGACCTCGGGCACACGTCTTGGGGTAGAACACCGAGCGCTGTTCTTGCGCGCCACGTGTAGGATCCATTGTGTTGACGTTAGGCCTATCGTACAGTTCGGCCGGGCGGCCAAAATGGACGATCGGGAGAAACTCGGGCACCTCTCCCTTCTGGAGCAAATTACTTCGAATGGCTCTTTTCTGTCTTCCGGAATGCGGCGGGAACAATGCAGTTCTACATCGGCGTACTTGGCGAATGCTTCACAAGGGGCTAGACGACGACAACGCGAAGGGGCCTCGGTGTGGCGGCGGCGGGACCGGCATCGCCGGGCATTGCCGACCGGAGGGGGCCGCCGACCGTCGCCTGCCAGGGGCTGTGCGCGGGGCCGAGCGCCGCTCACTGCTTCTCGTCGCACTCGCGCGATATGTGGCCCTGCTTACCGCAGGTGTAGCAGGTCTTGCCGTCTTCGGGACACTCGCGGGCGATGTGGCCCACCTTGCCGCAGTTGTAGCACGACATCCGGCTCTGGCCGAAGCCCGGTCCCCCGGAGCCGCGGCTGTCGCCCATCCGCGAGCCGCCTCGCATGCCGCCGCCGCCGCCGGGGCCTCCTCGGGATCCGCGGCTACCGAAGCCGCCGCCGCCTCCTCCGCCGCCGGAGCGGTACGAGCTGCCGTACGAGCCGCCGCCGCCATAGCCGCCGCTGTCCCGGCTGCCGTAGCCGCCGCGCTGGTCTCCCTGCGGGCATTCGCGGGCGAAATGGCCCGTCTTGTGGCACGCGTAGCACTCCTGGGTACTCATGGTCGACGACGAAGGAAGCAAACCGCTCGGAACGGGAGCGCAGGGCTGAAGAGACTGGACACGTCGACCGGCTACGCCGCAAGGAATGGAACAAAGAAGGGGTTTGCGCACGGCTTCCGACTCACGTGGTGCTCTGCACACGGCACCCAGCTCGCGCGGCCCATTCCGCCCAGGCTTGCACGGCGCTCGCCGCTTGAGCTGGCATGGCGCCAGTGGTCAGACTGTTTGTACACAGCCCCTTCGAGGCAGCCACGTCTGGCCACGCTGCCCAATACGACCAATACTGTACCAGCGGTTTTACCGTTTTACTACCTACCACGGCCACGCGTGTTCGCCGGTGTCCACCGATGACATGGGCAATGCCCCGCCGTCTTGAGCGCGTGCCAAGCTAGGGTATGCTGCTGGGTTCTCCGACCCCTGCAGCATGCGGTGCTACGACCTGGGTCACGGCCGCACCCTGTCTCGGCAGCGCCGGCTTCGTGCGTTGCTCTGGGCCGCTATCTGTCAAGGACGACCGCCCGCTCTTGCCGTCGATACTCGACACTTCGTTACGCAACACGCCGTCGGCTGGCGCGCACAAATAGAGCCGTCGTCCGGAATGAAACGGACGGTACGAGTACGTGTCGGGGCGGAAAAGCTGTCCGGGGCGCCGGCAGCAGCTTTCCTAATATTAACTCCTACGGAGCAAAGCCCAAAAAAAAAAAAGAAAACACTTTTTTATTTTATTTGTGCGTGCGCGTCTTGTGTATTTGATTTAGTAAAAATAAGGCACTCGCATAAAATATATCATCTTATGGGCTCATAAACCATAAAAATGAGCATTCATGATAAATTCTGCCGTCAGTGAAGCCACCCGGCAGACTCAAGCCAACTGTTCCGTTCTTGAGTTGTCGCGTTGCGTCTCCTATTCTTTTTTTTTTTTTTTTTTTCTTTAAGAATACAAGATGCAAAGCAACTCCCCCTTCACGTTCAAACAAAAGCAAAAAAGAAGTACCGTGCTTTTTTTACTTTTTTTTAGGTGACCAGTTGGTCCCTGGCGAAGGCTGCCTTTGCCGCAGTGCACTCCTTTTAGGATGTGAAGCCCACTCACGGGTGCAGCTATTTATCCCGTTTCAAATCGATAAATAATTGAGATGCGCATGCGCAGAGAGATAATTAAATTAGGAAACTGTCGAAAAACGCGACACGTTATCTTCTGAGATTCAGTGTCACAGATCATCGTGTGACATTCTGTTTTTCGCCTAATCTAATAAATTTCACATATTATTCGCAACCCCTGATAGGGACCTTTAGCTTCGTGATATTTATGGTCGTTGCACCGTCTTGCATTCGAATAAAAGCTGCTACGTGATACGCATTAAAAGTTGCCAGTCTTTGGTCGTACATCGCGCTGGCATAAGCGGCCCCTACGGCACACGGTGGTTGCACATTTTCTATTCAAAGAGCCTCATTCGAACAGTGGTGGTGTTTAATAATACGATAGTGCTCCTATATTGTACAAAAGGCACGGACATTATGACAGCATTATCTCAAGCATGACTGCAGACAGTTTTGTGTGTGTGATGAGTAAATCATACGAGGAAGTAACACGCCTCAGAGAGTCTTTTGTATTACGACGGTGCACTGCAGCTGGTTCCTCGGGTGCGGCACCTCGAGCGGGACAAAGCCGGACATCGCCATCTGCTTCGATTGGCCGCTGACCACAATCGCAGCAGGCAAAAATGTCCCGGTCCCGCCGTGGCCCAGACCATACGCGTAGACTACGGGGAGGGGGGGGGGGGGGGGGGGGCATTGGGGCTCGTCTCCCCCCCCCCCCCTCTTCCCCGGTGAGATCCAGGGAAAAGCAAAGCCCCCCCCCCCCCCCCCCCCCCACTCCCAAAGGGCCATCATCCTTACCGAGACGCAGCTTACGTGCCATGTAACGAGCTTCTAGTAGTGGCATGTAAACAAAATAACGCACACAGCGACGGACACATGGGGATATACATACGCTGTAAAATGTAGCCCTTAAAATAAGCTACTGTTGATTACCGGTGTAAAAACAAATTGCGCTAAAAAGACCCCCCCCGGGAAAATGGAAAGTCTACGCCGCTGGCCCAGACAAATGGGTCTTTTCTCGATTCATGTTGCTGAGATGGGCGTGGTGAAATTCCTCGTCAAGAGTCCGTCGATTGGTATCAGCACGGGCGCGAGGCACGTCTGATTGGATCCGAATCTACACCTTCGACACGAGCTGAGCTGACGACGAACGCTGATGTGTATTAGACAGGCTTAAGATTTATTCGGGTGACACTACGAATGCCGTCATTTTATTCGCTGCTTTGTGCGTGAGAAGTCAGAACTGCCTAAAGCGCTCATCTTCGTGCACGCGAAAGGCGCCATGTACGGCAGACAGAAAAAGAATTGCTGGCACTTCTATCTTTTTACTGAATATCAAGGACAGTCATGGCGTACCAACCCGGGGGGGGGGGGGGCAAGGCATGTATTTTGCTTCCCCCCCCCCCCCCCCCCCCCCGAAACAGCTGCCACTGGGCATGGCAAACATTGGCCGGCGGCGCCCAAGAGATACCAAGGGCACCGCACCCCGGCACGGCGGGGGGGTGGGGAGGGGGGAGGAGGTCTCGTTTGCCCCCCCCCCCCCCCCCCCTTCCCTCTCAAAAACAAGTTGGTACGCCACTAAAGACAGTCTTCCGAGAGCATTTTGTAAAACTCTAATATTATTATTATTTTTTTTTAATGCTCTTACGTTTATACCGAAGCCAATGTGGACAAACTGGGCCGTCGTCTTGCGGAATCGGAAGCCGACGTTGCGTTTTTTGGCATCTCCCCGCGGAAGAACTTCATTGATCAAGATAGGATACCGTGGCGGTTCAAGGAAAAAGGTAATCAAAGCTTACAGAGATGGTGCAGTTCATGGTATCCAAGGCATCCGCAGCGCCTCTGCAAGACTCTTGTTTGTTCCTGCCGGGAAGTGAGTTCAAGCGCCACCCTGACTCTCATCATTGGAACAGAGTGGAAAAGGCCCGTTTCGACCGTCTTTGGTATGTGAAGCGCGGACGTGTTTTGGACACTGTGACTCTAGGAAGGCGGAAAGTCTTGGTTCCTCAGTAATGGTGAGCCTCAGAAATCGTTTGTCAACCCGTGCAATGAACTTATTTCGTCCAAATCAGAAGAAATTTTGGGGACCGAAATGTTGTTTGAACATAAAGCCGTCAAAGCTGGACGTCTTTCTGTCCATGCAGACCAGGAAGGTCAAGATGAGTGGGAAAGTGTGGCAGGGTCTGTTAGGTTCGATGCGGTCAACGCTAAGTTTAAAATAATATAAACCGGAAACTCTTCTTCGTGCGGTGATGTGGTACGTGGCAGAAATTGGTTTCAAAGATTCTTCAGAATTGTTTAAAGTATGTCCATCTGGGTAGATCGTTGTCTCTCAGGAATTCGAACGAGTTAATCAGTATCTTGGAGATAAACCACGGGAGGGAATGTTCATTGACTAATGACCAGGGTGAAGGAGGAGTTATAACTTGTAATCTGGTTCAATCCTAAGCAGACATTTCGCTAGACATCATTTGTCATCATTCATGATTATTCTCTTCAGTCTACAGTTGTGAAGTATGAAGGAAAGAAGTTTTTGCAGGAAGGCGTGTGTATTCGGTCCTCGGTTGCACCGGCTTAAGCGAAGGTTTATCCGAATTCGTTGGATTCGGTTGTGTTTGATCCAAGTAATTTGTTTGAAGCGGACACATGCATTGTTAGGAGATATGTGAACGATATTTTCGTGTGCATTTTACGGGATGATCAGTCAAACGGTCTCAAGCAATGGATAAAGTAAGCAGCTCCAGAATTCTGCGATTCGCTGTGCCGGAGAATGGAGTATTCCAATGATTGGATCTGAGAATTCACACTAAGGAACGTTTGTGCTCGGAGTAAGGTAAAGAAAATCTCAAACCAGTACTGTTAAAAGTGAGCTGCCAACCGAAAACGGTAGCGGGGGTTGTAAAATCTTTAATCAGAAATGCTCTAGACTTGTCGTGCATACATTTGATCTCAAAATCTTTGGAAAGTCAGCGAGAGATTAGGCGGGGCGAGGGTATGAAGATGAGTTCATCAAAAGGAATTTAAATTCACGCACAAAGGAGAAAGAAAAAAGGGACAACACGTCGGGAAGACGGACGGCTGTGATCCCGGATTTTCCTGGAATTTCGCATTACTTGAAGGCGTGTGCTAAGCAGTTTGGAGTGGAAACTGTTTTTAGCTCCGATTTCAGGCTGAGCAGACTAACTTTTTTTTCTTTTTTTTAACAAGCGCGAGTGTAGAAAAGCTCACGACCCCTTGCAAAAATAGTGTGTATGAAATTCCGATGACATGTGGTTTTGCAAATGTAGGCCAAACTTCGCGGTATTTTAATGATAGATTAACAGAACACAAGATAAATGTAAAGATGAACGGAACAATTCGTAAATACCAAAGCGCATAAATTAGTGTAATAATTCCACTGCTTTGTGCCCAGGAACAGAAATAATGCACAGAGAAGTGAATGACAGTAAAAAGACTGGCAAGCGAAACCGTTCGAATAAAATCATTTGGCAGTCAGGCATCGTTGCAGAGGCAACAATGCCAAAGCATTTTTGAGACTGTAAACAATTGTGTATGTGTGTGTGTGTGTGCGCGCGCGTTTTTTTTTTTTTTTTTTTTTTAAGAAGCTATTTTTATAAAGTGGATTCAGAAGTGTTTCTGTTTGTGCTTTTTCTTTGTCCTCCTTGTTCCCCATCTCCAGGGATTATTATCTTCGGAAATTGGAAACAGCGCGCAAAAAGACGAAGACGACGAGAGAAGAGCACAGGACAAGCGCAAGATTATTATCGTCATTCTTGTCCAGCTCGCTTGCGCATTTGTATTAATACCATTATCATCAACTCCAAATTTTTTTTTTTTTTTTTTTTTTTTTTTTAAGTTAGTGTTTTGGGTTGGTTAGAGCTAAAGAGGGTTATTTCCAGTTCTACTATTTTTGGTAGTGTGTTGGTTTTTGAATTTATGGTCGGGTCAATGTTGTTCGCGGGTGTAGTGTCAAATGCTCCACAAAACATAAGCTTTTTTTTTTTTTTTTTTGTAATAGTGGAGGGTCTGAAACACTACTCCGGAAGGTTAACTTTTAAACCGTGTGTCTTATTTGCTTGAAATTTGCAGGGTGTACTCATAGCACTGGATAAGGATGCTGTGGAAATTTTAAACCCTATAAATTTATCCCACGATGAGTTACATAAAAGTTCATAATAAAAAAGTGTATCTGCTGAGGAAAGCTATCGTTTAGAAAGGGTAATGAAAATGGCCAGTTTTTTTTGCTGGAACATACAGCAGAATACTTGCTTCAGACGACTATGAAAAGAAATTTCGAAAATTATGAAATTTATTCACGAAAAAATTATGGAAAAAGATTGTTTTTTTAGTGTACATTTGATTAAAAGAAATATAAACTTTTCATAACAAAGGAGCATAAAATGCAGAAAGTAAGTTCACAGTCGTGTTCTCCAGAAAATTTCAATATAGAAAAACCAAAATATATCGGCACGCATAATTTGATTATGAAATGATAGCTTCCCTGAACTGATATTTGACACTAAAAAGTGAAGCTGAGATAAATGCACTCGAAGTTTCATGAGGACGTTTTAAAAATTCATTTTTGCGTCTTAAATGTCAGAAATTCTTTCCAGCGGTGTAGGTGATGTTTTCCTCAAACTTCTTCCGATATACTGACATTGCTTTCAGCTATTTTCACTCGTGGATGACGAGTGCTACGCAGTGCAGCACACCTCACCAACATATAAAGAACAATTATTTTTGACATTGTTTGTCAGTGCACATTGACAAGACTTCGAGAGAGTGTTTTTTGTTATCCATACATGGCCAAAACTTTGCAGTTCTGAATGTGCATTTCTTTAAAAAAAAAGGTGCAATTCAAGGTAGTGTCCCCCCTTAAGTTGGGCATGTTTGTCCTGGCTGTTTTTGTTCGGTGAGGGGGCATTCCCTTTGTCCTATTCTGGTAGTCCCTTTGTTTGTCTCGGTGCGTTCTAGCAAAGGGCAAGCGGCACTTTATCTAAAACGCGGGTGTTTCGTCTAGCACGTGGGACCGAATAAATATTTTAGACGCGTTTTTGAGACGTCTCTTCTCCCACGTATTTGTCTGTTCTACGTTTAAGTTTCTATTTCATACCCCATTCTCGGGTTAAGTTTCAACATGGTGCAAAATGTGTGTGTTTATGTGACGTGCGCTTTAGTTCTGCAATGGGTCAGCTGAAAGTCCACTCCGTGTCTTCTTTCGTTCGTACCTAGTTCGTGCCTTTAGAGCCTGTATTGCCTAAGACCCGATTAGTCCACGCCAAAGTTACAACAAAGCTGCATGCCGTAGTGGAACAGCCTGCTGCTGACGAGCCAGCCGTTTGAGCGTCTGCAGCGACGATGGCGAGCCCAGGAGGAAATCGGTTCATTCATTGGGTGACCTTGGACGCGAGCCACGGACAAGTTTTCCCAGTTGAATGCGGGACGACTCGTCGTGCCCCAGGAGTTTGTTTTTTTCACGTGGCGTTTCTCGCCGGAGTGCCGCTTTATCTCTGACGCAGGTGTTTTGACTGACTCGTGCGAACGATACGGCGGCTACCCAGCAGACCTCACACGGCCTCGCCGAGCCGTCCGAAACACGAGCGAATTTCCTTCGAATTGTTCCGGACAATGCGCAGCTCGTCACGAGACAAGTGTTGCGAATAAGATAGCGCAAAAAAGGACGAGCAAGTAAGACAGCACGACGCCTGTACTTGCTTGACCTTGTCACGTTTGCGCTATTTTATTTGTATCGAAATGCATCAGCTATGCATCAACTCAGCAAAAACGTACTTTGCCAGTGTTCACCTTTCGTCTTGCCTGCACCCCGCTTTATGTCCCGGAAGGTGAAAGGTCAAATAATAAAAATTAAAAAAAAAATAACAATAATAAAAGCGGGGAGCGCATTCACAACTGGCATTTTGCCCAAGTACACAGACGAGTATATTATTCTCCTCAAGTGCCTATTTGTATTGGGCACATAGGACACATATGCGTACACAGGGTGTTACAAATCGGTGGGCATGCTGCATAACGAGCCGGAAACGTCGGCGACTGTATACTTTCACCGTGCGCGTATTCTTGTGCCTGATACCACTTCGTGAAATTTCAAAGCGTAGCTATTTGTTTGTTTTGTTTGCCTTCGGTGGCCGAACGAATTGCAACTCTGGTCCCGGCGTTTCCCCGCGACAGCCATGGAAGCTGCAGGGACACCGTGGCCAGGAATCTCCGGCTCGACTCTCCGGAGCCCGGCGTGGCGTCGACCTGCCGTCCGACACGTCATGCCGACGCGGGCTGGGCACGATGCCAGACCCGCCGTTGCCGCGCTGCCAGCGGGCCACAAGGACTTCCAACTTCCCTGGCCGTCAGCGCGCCTTTGCCCTGAGTCAGACGCACGCCAGCAGGAATGGAAGGATCGAACTGCAATGTCCAGCAGTGGAATACATGTATGTGCGTACCAACCGGAGGGGGGGGGGGCAAGGGGGGCACCTGCTTTCCCCCCGCCAGTTCTCAGAGTGTGTGTGTGTTGGGGGGATCACGGCATGTGTTTCCCCCCCACCCCTGAAACAGCCGCCACTGGGCAGGGCAAACACTGGTCGGCGGCGCCCAAGGGATACCAATGGGACCGCCCCCCCTCAAAAACAAGTTGGTACGCCACTGAATACATGCCTTTACGACACTCCCTGCTTCGCATTTTACAGCGATGTTTTGTGTCCGTCGACAGAAAACCAACGCGCGCGCCTTATCATTTCTCATGTGGTTTTGGCACTTGTTTCAATAAGAAAACCACAAAACAAGTGTCAAAACTACGCGATAGATGATAAGGCGCGCGCGAACGATGATAAGCACGTGGCGCTCCCCTCATGCGTTTCTCGGTAGAGATCGCGGTTGCACAGGCTGCCTTGGCAACGGCAGAGTACCAAGTGGGGAGTGACGTCACTAGCCCCACTAACAAGACTTTGCCTAGGTTCACTTTCCACCATCTTGTAATAACTGGTTTACTTTGCTTTTATACTCGCGAGAGTGACATAGCTATGCAGCACTACCGAAGATATGGAGCGTATAACACGCATAATATTCAAGGAGGTTGATAATATTATTAATACAAAGTGCGCCCTTTTGTATTGAAATTTCTGGATGAGAGATGAATGGTATGGCAAAACCTATTGGCAATAACGTAATTTATTCTTTTCTTTTTTTTTTTTTGGGGGGGGGGGGGTGGAGAGAGGTAGGGGGTTGGGGGTTAGGGACAGTGTCGTCAATAGCGTCAGTAGCACCCAAAGAAGAAAACCTCCCCCCCCCCCCTCCCCCCCCTCCCCCCCCTTGCCTGCTTGTGGTGTCATTGCTCTCCTGGCCATCACACATCTCCGTTCGGTCCCTTCACATATTCACAGTATTTAGGAAGCATCGGCACACTGCCGACTTCACCTTGCATGAAAAGCTCGGTTCAAAACTGTCAAACCGAACAACCGGTCGGTTTACCTCGTTCAATTTCCCGCTGTTGCTGCTGTTGCCGCGGCCAAAAACGGTGATGCGTTCGTATTTGTCAAAATATACACTAGAGTTGAGTTATAGAGTTATTGGTCGAACAGAGTCAACAGGAGTTACCAAGTGGCACGTGACACTCACGACCGACCAACCGACTTAATGCGTGAATTACCGAACGCGTAGCAGTCATGGCGGCTCCCATGGCTCCGGTGCTTTTTTTGCTTCCCGACCACTGTACTTGCGACTGTTCGCAGCTTTGGCGCATTTCGCGGGTGAATCGGCAGTCTCCAGCCCATCGGCAGTGATGCCCAAGATGTGTAGGATTGGTGGCGGGCAAATGTGACTGACATACCGGCCAGGGAAACCTCCCAAAGCAATGATTGCGACGAGACTGCTTGTGGGCCTCCCGTCCGCGGTGGAAAGCATTGCGGTGCGATTGTGCAGCACGGCACTGCCTCTGCGGGACACCAAGCCCAAGTCCCAACACGACCGCGTAAGCACCACCTCCTCGCTACCACATCGGCAGTCTTCCTGTTGTTAACCCATCCTCCACGCTGCGTTCATGCCGCTTCGCGGCGGCAGTCTGCGGAGGCTCGTTGCAAAAAAACGTTAACTCACCTGACCCATCCGTACATGCCGCTTCGTGGCGGCCGAATTCGCTAAAAAGAGGCTCATCGCCATTTTCTCTAAACTTGGTTTCTCTATAAAAGATTTGATAAACTTGGGTGGGTCGGTAAAACGGCGTTCGCAAAAACGCGCTCCTCCAAATCGCATGCCTCCTGCAGTTTCTGCCCCTAGAGCAAGCACGTGCAGCTTTTCCGCTCAAGCAAAGACATGACGGCGGCCTTGTTTGCAATCGCCTATACACTGAATGAAGGCTGGTGCAACTCTCAACACTCCATCGTCATAATCGAGTCTGCGGGCTACCGCAGAGTGAGGTCATTTTTGGAGATCAAAGAGCGTCTCTTCAGTTTCTGTTCTTAGTTTCAAAGCTCACGCCATGCTTGCGACAGAAGCTCAGTGGTAGGGCCACACAGCACTTCGAGTAGCTGTATAGCTGTGCATCTTACACAAAACATGAAATTGGGGAGAGAGAAAAGCATGTCCCCAATCTCGGGTTTATTCCAACGCTGGACGACGTCTGGTTATGGTAGGTCAAAGGGTGGATTTGTGTCAATATTAAAGCCAATGAGTGTCACTGCCAAAGCATAACGGCGTCTTCAACAAGCTCTTTTCGTTGTAGTTGGTTTGGCATTCGCCGAGCGAGATTAGGCTCTTAACCTCAAAGCAAACCAAAGGCTACGAAAGCTGCAAGCTCGTAGCTTTCAGGCTGCTTTACTGCACTGCAGATACATATTCGAAGCATAGAGGACACTCTTATGGTTTTTGTTATACAACAATTAATGTATAAATGGAAGTCCTGTCAGAACATAAGGCATTAGTGGACGAAGAGCATGTTGGTGCGGGTCAAATTTGATGAAAGAATAAACATGTAGGATGAAGATGACACAACTACCGAAAGATATGGTTGTGTGGTCTTCGTCCTACATGCTTATTCTTTCTTCAGTCGTACCACTAGGTTCTGCTATAACTGCGACGACATTTGAAATTTTGTTCCTGCCAAAATGGACTGGCTTGGCAGCTCTGAAACTTGGTTCATTGGCAAAGTCGCATCACTAAATGCCATTGAAGACAGTATTGTTTTGCAGAGAATGAACGCTTCTAGCTCCTCCTTTCCTGTCGGCAACCATTTGCGACGGCCCTGCGCGGACAACACTTTGATCATCCGATACACATCCAGACTTTGTATCCGCAAGTTTCTTAAATTATTGTATCCGACCCTCATACTTTTTATCTGCGTCCAGACCACATTCGACCGGCAATCTGGGCATTCATCTCATGTCTTGAAATCGAGCATGAATGAAAAAGAAAGCATCTGGATTGTACTTATAAGCCATTTGCTTATCTTAGTACGAAGTGCTCTTCACGTCAGGATATGGGGAAAGTTGTTTTATCATATTTATACTATAAATGATCATCCTTCCAGAGACACTCTGCATTGCTGGAAAAATGATTGCGGTTATGAGATTGTCCTGGGAGCGTGCAACACTCTGCCCACAAGAAAGAAAATATTAAAATTTTCTTCCTTTTACACGTGTAAAAGAAAAGAAATTTTAATATTTTTTTTGTAACATTCATTTCAAGCAGACGCATATTTTCTATACACGAAAATTGACAAGGGACAGACCAATAACATTTTTCCACTTTATTTAGGTCGAGCAATTAAAAAGTGGGAGATTAAAGGGGGTCACTCACCGCAGTGAGGTAGAATCATACATACGTGGTAAGACGCGAGTCCACCACTGGGGAAATAGCATAGTATTCAACAATGGCAACATCTGCCATTGGCTCGTTTTAAACATGAACATGCAACTGTGTGCTCCGAGCCACATTGTAGTAACAGCTTGCCAACTGTCAAGAAAACAAACTCGCACACACGCCACGTCTCACTCGTTGAGGAAGCTTCTACTTTCTTGCAGCCTGCCTGTTTTGGGTTTTCTTTGCCCGAAGAACATTTTCCGCTCTTTCCTCGCCAAAAAAGTGCACACTCCCGAGACTATGGATGCAGCTGCATTCTTTATTTTTCCTTTGGACAGCACTTTTGGAGTGCTCCAACGTGATCGTTTGCGAGAATTGGGCCTTCCTTAGAGTAAGAAACAATTTTTTCCCCGAGTGGCACATTTTTCTAAGAGAGTAATTTGCTTCTGCAAAACATTCAAAGATGCACTTCACAGTACCACTCACTTATTCACTCTACACTCGGCGGTTGCACGCATTCATGAGCTACCAAAAATTTAGATCTGGACTCGTGGATATTCGCGTCTCATCTGAATCTGCAGCCCCTGGCATCTGCATTTGATCAGACAGTCCTCCTCCAGTCCGTCGTCTTTTTGCGCCGTTTTGATCTTTTAAGTACCGATTAATCGAAGCTAATTAATTCCTATCTGCATCTGCCAGTCGACTGCGGTTGTCTGCTAATCTGTGGATATGCGGGGCTCTAGTGACAGATGACACTATATTTTTTCAAACTGTTTCGTACAATGCCTTCGATAGGAAAATGTCCATAGAATGTTTGGGGCTATGTTTGACTGTTGCGCGTGAGCTTTTACGCTCCTTTCGTGGAGCATGCCTTTCAGAAGCATCGAGTGGGCGTAAAGTCGTAAGTCGGCGATTGCGCGTCTTTTCTGTCCCGTCTGTTTGTGCATTTTAATCGTCGTGCCTTACCAGCTTCCATTTTGAACTGTTGGCGCCTGTTGTTTCCCCTTGCCCCTGCCACAGCCTTCGCACTTTGTGGACTGGAAGCGCGTCAAGGTCATTGGCGGTGCCGGGGGCGACGGCTGCATCTCGTTTGCCCACCTGTTCTGCAATCCCAACGGGGGCCCGGACGGAGGCGACGGCGGCAATGGCGGACACGTCATCTTTCAAGGTGCCTCCGTCGTGCCAACCGCTGCTCAGGGTGGGCTGGGGACTTGGAAGGATAGACTTGCACGCCTTACTCAACTGTGGTCCACGATAAGACGAGCCTCGTCGCAGGATCAGCCAAAAGCCAAAGTGACCGAGCAGAGAGGAGCAAGGAAGTTAGAGAGCGGTGCGAGTGGCGACTCTCTCTGTCATTTGGTCCTGGCATCCTCCGAGAGTTCGGCCCCCTGGTGCAGCGATGAAAGCGCCGCGCCATTTGGGCCAAATTGCGCCACAAACAGAAGTCCGCTACATCTTGCTCCAACATTCCATTTTTGCTAAGAATTCCGCCAAACTTGCGCCGAGGTGGGCAGCGAAGCAAAACGTTAAAATATATTATTATTGGTCGACTCTATTATTGAGAGAAGTAGGAAGACGGGAAAATGGTACAAATATATATTTCACATTGTGTCTACTCACCGTATAGTTTGTCTCATCTTACTTAGGTCAGAGCACACACGAAGACTAAAACATACAACTACAAACACGCATACTAAAAGCTCACGAGGCATTCGTTGTACTCATTGCTTTAGTCGACGAAAGAACACGCGTAGGAACATAGATGAATGCCACGATGTCGCACTTCGATGCCGTTTGGTTGGTCCATTGGCTCGTAGTGTCGGCTGCGCTTTGAAGTAAGGTGAAACAAGGTTTGGAGATTGCTCGTCAAGCGTCCTGGCCGGTTGATGCGCTGGCGGGTTGATCACCAACTTCCTCTAAATTTCCAGACAACGTTGGTGATGTCAGGAGCGAAGAGTCGCGAGAGAACATTGCAAAATAGGACGGCGGCTACTCTGATAGGACAGAACCAGGTTCTTGTATTCCCGATGAAATCACTCGGTTATAATGACCGTCGCATGCCTCCGTGCTGCCTCTCACTGGCACGCGCATAGCGCTTTGTCGCTTGCATCCGAGTGCTAGGAGCAGCAGCTGACATTTCAAAAACTTTTTGAGTACCCATTTTGAAAGAGAACCCACCCTAACCAGAAGCTTATTTCTAAAAATAAGGTTCCATGTTCCTTTTGTACCCTACCTAGTTTTGTTACGAAAGAAAATAAGTTATATGGTCAAGTATCAAAGAGAAACCCTCACTCATTATCATAGATCGACTCATGTAGCGACGCATCAACTTTTTTCATTTTTGAGTGATGCATTAACAGATGTTAGCGTCTGTTCCAAAAGTGTTGGCGGCTGTTCCAAACCAATATTTTGCCTGCTATGGAGCCTGCTACAAAAGGTCCAATACTGCTTGCATCACTGCCGGTGCCACGAATATGAGGATGGCCATGAAATCGTGCAGCCAACGTCGGCTAGGGTGGTCGGTTGTCAAGGGAGAGTTGCGTGTCGTGTTGCATTGTCCGTTGTGCAGCAAGCTGTATGGGGGTGGCGTTACGAAGAGCATCAAGTGCGCCGTAGCTTCTCTCGGTGCAATCTAGGCCTCGGTACCCACGAGGCTCATGGGACGTCGTGCGCAACGGGCGACAGATGGACAAAAGCCCCGTGTGCTTTCCAAATGCAGCCGCGGAGACCGTGACGTCTCTGGCTCACGTGCCTTCCACGATCTTCGGGGACGGTGGCATGCGGGGATTTGGCAAGGACATGCACGGCCGCTGCGGGGAGCACACGGTCGTCCAGGTAACACCTCGCTCCATTCCATCTATGCTCCTGGGATGCGCACCGTAGGGGTCGCTGTATCGCTACGCTATCTTACCAAAAGATGTCGCTTACGGAGATACGGATCATCCCTTTCTTGTATCTCCGTACGCAATAAGTTGTTTGGGAAATGATTCCTAGGGCCGGGCACTTTAATTCTGTTAATCAGTGCCACGTAATTGACAACACTGACAGTTACAGTTAGTGACGTCAATTATGAACTCAAACACCAGAAGGAGAGCAAAATGTTGATTTTTATATCTCGCATTCTTCGCTCGTATCATAAAGGTTGAGATGCGCGACTCCTCACCAACCGTACGAGCGAATCACTCGGTATGTGCTGGTCTTTACTCGGGAACGGTTACCACGCAACTGGCAAGTTAGTGGTCTAACTTTGCACGTGCAAAGAGGTAGAGGATTTCTGCACTCGACGAATGCTCGGACGCACCACGGGGCTGGGTGCGCCCCGCACAGGTTCCCCTGGGCACCCTGGTGCGAGACGAGGAGAGCCGGGAGCTTGCCGAGCTGGACGTTTCCGGAGCCCGGTTCCTGGCGGCACGTGGAGGTGCCGGCGGCAGGGGAAACCACCACTTCCTGAGCAACGCCAACCGTCACCCACGCGTCTGCCAACAGGGGGCCCTGGGGGAGCGGCTCGTCTACAACCTCGAGATGAAGCACATGGCACATGCGGGACTGGTAACCCGCCTTTCTTTCGTCAGCTGTGATGCCCTCTCGCATTCTTCGTGGAAACATGTACAAGCGGGATCAAATGAAATGCGAAAAGTGGAGCGTATGGCCGTTGGTACATGCTGCACCTCCTGGAGGCCTCTTGAAGCTGATAAAACTGGGGGTTGGAGAGAGGGCACCGCGAGGGCGTGCGTCCTACTGCGATGTGTTTGACCCTTTCCCAGCACAACCCAAGCTTTGACGCTGCGCCAGGGGTGTGCTGGAAGTTGCGTCACAGCCACTCTCGTTGGCTCAGCACGAGCCATACAAGGAAGCTCGCAACAGGAGCAGGCCGCTTGCATGCGTGCCTCACTTGCGCATTCATGGAGCATTATTGCAACGTCATGCTGCCTCCCAACTTGCACGTTTTTTTATTTTTTTATTTTCTTAACACGCATTGTTTTGGTGGTCGAGGCTGAGTATGAGCGGCTACGAGCTTCAAACCTGGTATCCCACCTGATGGAAGGTCTACCTCGTCAGATGGCTGCCATTATAGGCTCTGAAGGCGACTTCCCAAAGTGTTCATTGGCTCCTCACCAAGACCAGCTTAGTCCAATACAACAACAAAGGCAGGCTTGCCCGGGCACTTACTGCTGCGGCGCTGCCAGAGGCCTCTGCTGGCTGCAGCATTCGTGTTCTTTCGTCGTTCATTATTTATGTCTGCACAAATGCTCCCTGGCAATAAATGCGTCATTTGGCGTCCATGTTGTTTCACTGTTTTGCAGAAGGCATGCACTCTAGGTCCTTCACGAGGACGTCTGCGTGGTTCTGATAACTGACGTCAATTAAGCTTTACAGGTCTTCCGTGCACGAACGAATGCTCTAACTTCTATTTCATACTTCTGGCACAGGGGTGACAATTTAATGAACACGCCGGACGAGATACTGGCTGGCTGCAAAACGTCAATGATAAAGCTACTGCATTTCGTTAAAATGTTCGGTGAATGTGGGAGCTGGCAGACCTACATTTTGGCAATCCCAGCGCCACACACGAGACACAAGAACTGGAGGAGACGCAGGGCGAGCGCCGGGAGCTGATGCTTAAAAGTTTGCCAGGGAATTGACCTCATTTAGCTGTGAGCAGCCGTCCTGTGCCCCCTCTAGTCATTCTTTTCTCGAATTTCGCACACTTTCTCTATACTGCTCACGAGAAAACGACGACGGATATTAGCAAAAAAAAAAACGAAAAATCTGCTCCAGAAGGGCGCATGACGCTGCGGTGATGCTCCATGTGGGCGCGCGCCCAAGCCGCCTGCTCCCGCTGCGAGCTTCCTCGCATGGCTCGTGCTGAGCCAACGAGAGTGGCTGTGACAGAACTTCCGGTGCACCACCGGCGCATTGTCGAAGCTTGGGTTGTGCTGGGCAAGGGTAAAACACATCGGAGTAGGACGCACACCCTCGCAGCACTCTACTCTCCAACCCCCAGTTTTATCAGTTCCAAGAGACCTCCAGGAGGCGCAGCATGCGCTGACGCCACGCACTCCGCTCTTCGCATTTCATTTGAACCCGATAGTACGAGCAAGTCAAGGCTCATTCACACCCTTGCGACTACTCACAATCGTGAATCTCTTTAAAAACGACGAGAGGCACCATCTATCAGGTAGCCATAAAACATTCGGAAATATTTGCCCTTTCTTTTCGTGCATAATTTTTTTTTTCCTGGTTCGAAATCTTTCAATATAAACAACCATTCCTCATAGATGGTACGTACATTTAATCTCGCAAAACCTCGGCTCTAGCGAAATCCAGTGCCACGTCATAGGTGGCGCCAGCGTGTCCTCTCGTCGTAAGCAAACGCAAGTGTGTGAACCAACCTCTAGATGATGTCTGCTTCATTAAACTTAGCAAGTCACGCTGCAATTCAAGCTTTGCAATTACCGCAGTGGTAATAAAAAAAGAAATGTACAAAAAAGTGTGCAGTTCTTAAAATGAATCCCACAGAGGGTGCAGGGCAAAGTATTATACATACTACCGTAAGATACCGGGGAAGCGCCCACTATTAGCATTTCCCAAACTTGGGAATTCTGCCAATTAAATGTTCAGTGCTCACCCCTCCAAAGTGCCGGCATCGGCCGAAAATATTCACCCTGTTGCGGCGGCCACGTGACCGCCAGCAGCGATGACGGGGATATCCGCTTTCTTGCGATGGAAAGGAAAACTTGCGACAAAAGTATTGACCTCCTGTTCCGCACTGACTCGAAAGAGTCGTCTTCTGGGTAGAGTGACGATGAATAGATACTGGCATCCCCCCATAATTTATCGCGCGAAAATAAATGTGTTTTCTCCGACCCTGCCCTCGAAGCTCTCTATTGACACCATCTTGGTTTTCACTGACTTGACCGGACGAGCGCCCGTGTCTAGATCCAGGGAGAGGGGCATGCTACGGTAGTCTCCACTTTCCGGGCGACGCTCTCCATTTCCAGCCAGCTGACTCGGCCCAGCAGCGAGGCTGAGACGAACTGGGCTTGCGTGCGTTGCAGGTGGGCTTTCCGAATGCGGGCAAGTCCACGCTGCTGCGAGCCATCTCCAGGGCGCGGCCCAAGGTGGCCTCTTACCCCTTCACCACCCTGCGGCCACACGTCGGCATGCTCAGCTACGACGACTACCTCCAGCTGGCAGGTCAGAACCAGCCCGAGCCGGAAGAGCCCACATGCCCCCTTTGGCAATGAACCTCGGGGCAGTAGCTCTCCGATTGGGGTGTGCACAGACTCTCAAACAAACTGGGCCCAGCAACAAATTGTAGCTTCTGCAAGTGGACAGGAATAGGTAACAACTGGGGTGGTTCATACGAGAGGTAGGAGCCTGAAGGCGCCTTCCTAGGATGCTTTGTGGCCCTCTTTTATCTGGAAGGAGTGTGTGACCTGGTACCTCGCTTGCCGTGGCTTCCCAAGACACCCGTTAAGGGGAAACTCCGCTCAATGGACCTTTTCCACTTTCCGACGGCACCAGGCGGTGGCTGCACAAACTAAAAATTGAGGAAGTGACCCACCTGCGCTACCTATCGATATTGGGAGCTACGCTACCAGTTTCTTCGCTCTCCGAGCTGTGGCGCGCGCCCAACGGGACTTTAAAGAGGCCCATCTGTGGCGTCCACTTAAACGTCGTGTTTTTCTTTCCGTCCACTTTTTTTTGTTAACACAATTATATGTATGCTGCAATTACGTGTTCTACTCGCTGATCCACAGCCTCCTTCCGAATTTACTCGATGTTTCGTGCCGACTTCCGCCGCTTGGCATCAGGCGCTCGGGCGTGCGCAGAACGCTTCTTGGAAAAGGTCCATTCCGAAAATTTCATGATTATGAGTGATTTCGCATGAGCATGCACTAATGAAAGATACTATGTCTGTTGCTTCGCGTAAAATGGGATATCTTTTGTCAAATCTTACTTTAAACATGAGCAGGAACCAAGACTTGGGCTTTGTCGGGCAACGTTCACTTTGGGCTGCCAAAGACGTGGCTACCATGTGGTACGAGAGGTCGCGTGATCCTCTACGCAACGATGGGCGGGATCGGGGCGAGCCACCGTTGGGGCGTGCACGTGCGAGGTGCAAGTGTCGTCTGCCCCACATTCTTCACTACGCTTTAGTGTAATTGAAACTCCGAGAGACAATAATCACAAACGACGTTTCTGACGCGGGAGACAGCGGTAACGGCGGGATGGCCGCACGGCTCCCAAGGCCGAGAAGTGCGCTGCTCAGGCGCGATACGCCAATCACGTAGACACCTTCGAGCGTCGAGAGGAGACGCTGCTGGCGTCGCCTATTACGCTTGCCCCAAAACTGAAAGGCCCAAGGTACACCTAAGCACTTCTTACGAGTTGTGAATGTGAAAGCATGAATGTCGTTCTTCCACAGCGTAGTGGCGTGGACAACCACATTTTGCCAGCCCACAACCAAGCGTGCACTCTTGTGAAGTGGCCGAGCTCGGCTGTGCATGCTTTCCGGAGTTTACCCGTGCGTGCTTTTGACACCAGGCCCGCACCTCTTACCGGCGGCTGGGCTGCTGCATGAGCTGCGCCGCCATGGAGAGGGCTTCTCTGGTGGCATTCACTGGTACTAGGCCGCGCAAGAGCCAATGGGAGCCTCGTTCCTTGAAACTATGACGCGCACCAGCCATTGGGAGCCTATCCATCAGATTTCTACTAGACGACATTGGTACGGGGGAAGGGGCCGTTCGGCGCAGCTTCAAAGCTGATGACGTCGGTTAGCTACTTGGGACATCTAATGCTTTTGTATTAAAAACAAAAAGCAGCAATGTTGATGACGTTTAGCTGCGCTGTAGATTGCGTCTCAATTCGCCTGCCAGAGTCAGCCGATTTCAGCAACTTGGCGCGTTCCAAAGTTTGCCGGATCATTTAGAGGGTAACTCCGGTACATTTTCTCACTTTTAGGGTTACGGCTGTTTTACTGAAGATTTACGAGGTGTCAGTTGTTTTTTTTAAAAGCCTTCTGTATTTCTGTAGATATCTTACTTCAAAGTTTTGTTTCTGGGTCTTTGGTGAACCCGAAACTACCAGGTTGAGAGGATGGAAACCCTCGTGATCAGGCGGTACCGCGAAACGTACAACTAGCCTAGTCGCTACAGCAGTTCCGATCAGTCAGGTAAGATGCTACGGCTGTTGTACTGCTTTGCACGTATCAAGCAGCTTTAGCAAATATTAATATACATTCATAAAGTTGCCGGCCGAAAAGCGAGTTTAACACAATGAATGCAGGCTCAGGACAAGCCCCACTTATCTTCCGAGAAGGATTACAATCTCGGTGGTGTGCAGTGCACGGTGCAGAGGCGTTGGGGAAGCTAATCGTCAGCTCGCGCCGAGCAGGAATGAACTAAACTATGGCCGCCAGGGAATGCCACCTTTGGCACTTCGACAAGCTTGAGCGAGCAGGGAATCAATAATCTGTACGCGATCGCCGAAGAGCACTTGCAAACTTCGGCCGCTAAAACAGAACAAGCGGAAGTCGTCTGCAGGGACGGCTGAAAACGCAGCAGAAAAACACGGCGAATAAAGTCACAGTACGAACGAGAAACTTGCTTGAAAACGGATATGACGTCGCGGCACCAGGCTGCTTGACAAACAGCCAACCCACCGAATGCTCGCCGACATGATGGTGGTAGCATCTTGCATGTCGGTTTTAGTGGGGATCGTGGCTTCCGATTAGCGTAATATTTTGGCAGTGCTCGTATTTAGTCTCCGTAAATTGATATCGGTCATTTACTTTGGTTCGACTTTTGATCGGAGTTAACCTTTAAGAAACGTTTCGATGGAATAAGGTCGTAATATTTGGAGTGGGGTCTTCCTAGGTGATACGAAAAAAGACTGCATCGTTTTTTCAAAAACAAAAAATTGAGCAGCTGCGGTAATCCAAAGTACAGTCTCAGTGACAGCTGCGCGAGAAACGTCAAAGTCCTTGGGTATCGGTGTCACGCATGAACGAAAACGCCCCACCTGACCATTTTGTTCGTATCACCTTCGTTTCTTTTTTGGTTCCGGAGTGGGTGCCAAAAGGGGTCTCCTGGCACGAGCTCTTGGCATTGACAGTCCTGCAAGGGCATTTTGTTGTTGGCTATTCCTTTTTCCAGAGAGCATGCGCGAGGCAATGGGTAGCTCACCAAAAAGGTCAAGCAGAGAGCGGGCTGTTAACGTCATGGCGTCGCTCGCTGGCAATGCCTCCGCTTCGCACGCAGCGGACCCCGGTTAGATTCCCGTGGGAGGCCGGTGATGTTCTTTAATGATTTGGAAACATTGAATACGGACACCCTACATCACCATCGACAACATCAACGTCAACTACTAAAACATCAACAACGGACCTCGTATTTAGTGGTGGGAAGAACCCACAACGTCTATCGCCATAAAATGAAGCAGAGTTGCCCTTTAAGGGCAAACTTCTAACTGTCCGAGGGGTAGTCCAAGCCCGACAGGAAAGGTAGTTTATGTGCTGGTCGCACTTTGCCACGATAGATGAACTCACTCTTGCGGAAGCTGGGCTCAAACTGCATGCCAATTTGGCCCCTCCCCCGCAGTTGCCGAAAACTCTGGTTGGCAGCCAACCGACCAAAGAATGGCCAAGGAGATCCTGACGACTATACTCTGTTTCACCTTATGATGTATTGCAGGAAAGGCTACAAGCGCGAGCCCCTTGCTCTGGGGCATATCTCGGCGGCACAAGCTCTCGTGCGTTAAGAGTAGCTCCCAAAGCTACGAGCTCGCGCTTCTTGCCTTCTCTGCGGTACAACATAAGGTGAAACAGAGTATAGTTTGAGCGAGCGACACTAATGCGACCGAGAACATGGCTAGAGAGTGGCACTGAAATTGACTTTTGTTAGCCACTTCTGTTGGATTTGAGCAAAATTCCCGGGACTCGTCGACCAGCGAGAGGCTTTGGGGCTGTTGAGGTGCCTCGGCAGTGTTGGCTGCGAACAGTTCATAATCCGCCGCGATCTGTCGAGAGTCTGCATGAATCCTTTGAACTTGACTCAGTTAACTGTGTTTGTCTCTTGCTTTCTACCTCACTGCCTTTGTTTTGCTCTGGCTCCTTGTTCCTATTACGGGGATGCGGCGTTACCTACCGGCGGACAAACCATCGAGGGATGTCCTCTCCGGTCGATTTCCCCATGGCTTACATCTCGCGCAGGACCCCACTCTCTTTCCCTGTGCTGGCAAAGCAGACAAGTGGGCTGCTTAAGCTGATTATTTTCACCCATGTCTACCTTTTCTACGCTGAATTGCACAAAGTTTACGTGGAGTTTTATTCTTCCCTTCTTCATTTACAGATGTGTGCTACAGTGGTTTGTACACTAGTTGGGGGCACAGTGTAAAAAAACATTTAATGCCGAGATCGCCACTGACGCTACGCTTATTCTCTCCAAAATGCGTTACCATTAGCGTAGGGGTTCCAACCCAGCGAAGAATGGGAATTCCAACCTCGCAGTGGTCCAAATAATATTGTCTCGGAAAAACCAGTCCGTTCTACCGGGCGTTGGCGGTTTCGGATGTAGGCACCACAGCTTCTCTCGACTGCCGCCTCCTGTTGTCTTCAAAGGGTCAATCTATCCTTCCAGGTGTCGGCAGTTTTGTACAGACGGTGCCGTCACTGTGCTTCGGTTTTACGCTGTTGCGTACGGCCGCCCCATCCCCTCCTCTCCCGCGGTGTTGGAAGCGTGCCGGAAGACTCTTACGTAAGAGGGAAAGTGGACGTAACGAGCGAAAAAGCGCAGTGGGAACCAGGCCACGGCCTCGCGAAGCCTGCCCGGTTCGAACCACGACCGTCCAAACAAGACATGCAACGAAACAATAAGTGCTAACACATTTCATCAAATGTACGAAGCGACTCACGGTTGCTGAAAACAGTAGCTATATGTGGGTACAGCGTAAAACTTAAATGGTTGCCCGTAGTATTAACGAACGAAGTGAATCGCGGTTGCCGCTTGCACTGCTGGAGCCCAGCGCCAGTGTTGCCGGATCCTCATTGGGCGACCCCTTCTTCCCTCGGCGTCCAGTGGCCGACCTGCCGGGCCTGGTGGAGGGGGCGCACGAGAACCGCGGCCTGGGCCACGCGTTCCTGCGCCACGCCGAGCGCTGCACCTGCCTCCTGTTTGTGGTGGACCTGGACTGCCCGGACCCGGCCGGCCAGCTCGAGGTGCTGCTCTCCGAGCTGGAGCTGTACCGGCCGGGCTTCAGTCGGGGTCCCCACCATGCTGTGCTGGCCAACAAGGTGCGTACGGACACTCGGGGCCAGGCCGTACGTTCGACCAGTGACTGCATTTGTGCCGTGCAGAAAGTAGGAATGCTGGAAAGCAGCTGCGATATGCAAGCGAGGATCTGAATGTAAAGCTAGGATTTGTTTAGTTCAAGGCCATGCTCCCGTATCACAATATGGGAAAATGGGCTCTGCTTCCGCCTTACACGTGGGCCCATACTTCTATGCACGACTCGCCCGTGTTCACACTCTGCCGATGGTATAAACGCCAATGGAGATGGTTTTGTCTTTTTTCGAATTTGACCAAAGCCCTCTGCATCGAAATTACTAGACCGTAAATGAGCCAGGCCAGCAACAGCAAATAGGGCCATTGTCGGAAATGGCGACGCATTCCCCGGAGTGAAGTGGAGAATTGGCCGTTGGCAGATGGACATCCCCCGAGCCCCGGAACGTCTGGAGCAGTTGAGGAAGTGGATCGACGGACGCTACCCGCTGCTGCCCATCTCGGCCAAGTTCGGGGACAACCTCTTGGCCGTACTCAGGCACGTGCGTCGGTCCTACGACGCATCCCAGGAGCGGAGCTAGCGACGACTCGGCATCGAGTGAACGAGGTTGGCAGCAGTTGTGTAGGTTGGACACTGCTCGTCCCGGAGCATCGACCGGGACACGAGTGAATCAATAAACGTGCATTGAATTGTTTCTTGCACTTGTAAAATGTTTTACATCAGGGTACATTGAAAAGTCGGAGAAGGGACATCTTTTGGCACCAAGAGAGTTAGGGATGTGCCTCGAAACAAGGCACCTTAGTTTTTTCCTCATTCTACTACGTTTGTCACTCTCAAACTTGAAGAAAGTGATCCGATTTACAAATTACTCTTAGCAATCGAGGATACTCCTAGCTTTGGCGTAGTTCCCTTCTCTTTCTTTCGCTGGGATCATGGAGTGGAGCAACGGTTTATTTTGAATATTTTTTCGGTGGCTGCTGCACTTTTATTTCTTACACCTTCAGTGTGCCCATTCCTTCAAAATACTTGCAGATCGATCACGCAACAGTTAATCATTTGCTTGGTCGGCTTTATTTTGCATCTCTTAGCATTGCACCAGACCGTGTAAAAGTGTCGGCAACCGGAAAACACACTTGGGAACGCTACTCTGTAGAGAGAACACGTGGAGATAGCCCATGTTTATCCTCTGCGTTGCTGTGCCCCTGAGGTGTTACAGTATTGTTTGCATCGAGGGAAAGCAATAGCTTTCTATGGTTGAGCAGTTGGCTGCACTGATTTGCCCCAACTGGGATTAGACTATTGGCTATAATGATCAGCTTCCTTTTGTTCGGAAGCACTTTGGAGGAACTTGGTTATAAGTTGGGCAAAAGGAGAAAAGCTTTAACCTATCTGAGTGACAAGTCTTTTCCAACACGAACAAGTACTTTGACAGGAAACCGCAAACTAAAGACCTCTCCGAGCATCTGAATTCTATTTGTAGTATTGCCTATTCTGCAATGGCATTCAGTGCCAGCAGATTATTTTATGCTGAGTCAGTGGATCTCTTTTGATTAAACAAGCCACAGTTGCATAGAGGGGAAAACGTCTCTGTCGCTTTGAAGTGCAAACCTGAGTGTTGCACACTTTGTACCACGTGCCGGATACAACCACCTAGGTGCAGTAGAGTGGCAAAAATGAGTTTAGTCGTTTACCAACGTTCCGAAGATCCAAAACAGACACCCAAAGAGGGAGGTGACTAGATGCAGTCAGTTAGCTTCTAGAAGTAACTTACCGTGCCACTTCTTTCGACGGTTCTATAGCCACAAATTACAGCCAATGTGCCCTAACTAGTGGGTACGTCGATGACTAACATTCCGTAAAATTATAGGGGCGATATTGGCAAACGTTGGCCGACGCTTCTCGAGACGTGTGCCGCTTGGGACCGGAAGTGGGCGGGGCCTCAGAGCAGGGTCCTGGCCTGTGGCTTGTAGCGATCCCTGACCCCTCCCATGGGGGCCACGGTCAGCTTGGGGGCCACCACCGACGCCTCCACGGGAAACCTGCGGCCAGCCAATTCCACCTGCGCGCAGTGGCGGGCACTTCACCCACGGGGAATGCGAAAACGTCGACATTGTTACGGCATTTTCTAAAGGCAGAACCGTCAGGTAAAGATACCAGAGACACTAGAAGATAGCTCCACGAGAGGATTGTTTGGGGTATGAATGAACTGCGAAAAGTTGCACTTTTACATGGAGGTACTCATGCACATCTCGCGTCGGTGATCGATACACAATGATATGTACAACGAAGGTGTGAGTGGGACTCTTCACGCAAAGAGGTTTACAGCAGATTTTGTGAAGGAAACCAGAAATGAGGAAGCTCTTGATGGGATGCAAGGACAGGCACTCTATGTTTGGAAGCCTTTCGTGCTTCAAAATATAGAGCACTTCCGTGTAGGTGTACTCAAAAGAGTACTTGCACATGCACTTTGATTTTTTTTCGGTCTGCAGACACTTGGTTAGGAAGAGGTTGGTTGCTTGGCAGTGCTTGTGAGGCCGCTTCACACGCTTGCGACTGCCTTAAAAGCTTTTACGACGAGAGAACACACTGCCCCATCTATCGGGTGCAACACTTGCACTTTCCATATATATATATATTTTTTAATGTATCTTTTCTTTTTTTAATTTTTTGACAATGTTACAAACGACCATTTCTTATAGGTAGCATGTACATCTGATCTTACAAATTCAGCAGAACCTTGGCTCTCGTCAAGGGGCATCACGGAGCCGAAGCCAAGGGGGCTGAAGGCAAGTCACGAAGGTGGGGGCTGCTTTTCTGCTTTAGTGAAATGCAGTTCCAGCCCATCCATGTTCTCTGGTCGTAAGAGGTCCCGAGAAGTCAAAGGAGAGAGGCCCAAGTTGGGCCCCAAGGGGGAGCACCTCGAAGCGTCCCTGGGAGATGAGCCCCGGGGGCAGGAGCTGCAACTGCCTGCTGCCGGGGTCGAACCAGTGGACGAAGCCCTGGCAGACGTTCTTGGCCAGGGAGAAGGCGTAGCTGCCCGAGGAAGTGAGCCCCACAAAGCGTCCCTCGCAGAACAGGGGCTCCTGGCCCCAGGCCCAGGGGTCCCGCTCGCAGTCGTGCTCCCCTCCCAGCTGGAAGAAGGCCAGCTGCCGACGGAGGCCCTCCCGGGCCTGCTGCTGCAGCGCAGCCTGCCCAATGAACGCCGGCTCCTTCTGCGTCGCGAGGCGTGCGGGGACTCGGAAACCGGCCCACTTCCAGGCAGACGCGTCCCGCAAACAATTTAAGCCACTTTTTCTTTTTAGAGCGCAGCTCTTAGGCGCCCCTTTACGGCTTGAGCGGCGTCGGCGTCAGAGTAACCGCCCGTAATCCCCCAGTCGCGGGTATGCAGTGCCCATTTCGTTGGAGGAATGCCTCCAAAGAAGTTTCATCCCCATCGTACGTGTTGATGATATTTCTGGACCAGCATGGCATCCGGTCTGTACTACATGAAGAAAGATTTGGACAGTCCAAAAAGTGGCAAATATGAATCTAAGGAAAACTACAATGAAACTTGGAATCACTGGACAATCGGCTTTTGAGTATGGAAGTTTATGTGGTGTGCTTCCTTCCTTGATCAGCCTCCTTTTGGATGTGGAAACGCCGACGCCCCGAGTCCTGTAGACAACGATTTTTTTTTCTCAGCCTTGGAGCCACATATTGCAAAGTTGTTTGAACTGGAAGTGCCATCCACTGGTCCCTCCTGCCTGTAAAGTGTGCACCTCCCACCACGAGTGGTATTCTCTTGACAGCCTTTGACGGTTAAAACCGGTTCCCGTTCAATTACACCGCCCAAACTAAATTTCCACCTGGCTTCGCTGTGCTACCTCTTTTTGGTACAATAAGTGTTGCGTCAAGTTACTGTCATGTCCAAGTACCTGTGTGGCAAAAATCGGCAACTCGCACAACCAGTTTATAACGCAACAGCTGACCGCAAAAGCCTTTGACGGCCAAATCGTGTGTTGGCCGACAACTTGGTTTTCCCGGCTTTGGAACCACCTTTGGTAAAGTTGATTCAATTGGAAGTACAGTGGACTAGTCCCTTTCTACCGGTAAAGTCTCCACCTCCTACGACGAGTGGTATTCCCTTGACAGCCCTTTCACGGTCAAAACTGGTTCCCATTCAGTTACGCCGTCCAAACCAAATTTCCACCTGGTTTCCCTATGCCACCTATTTTTGGTATAATAAGTCGTGCATCTAGTTTTGGTCATGTTCAAGAACCTGTGTGTCCAAATCTGCACTTCACACAGCCCGGTTATAAAACAACACTTTGGGTCCAATAGTGGATATCTCGTACAGCTTTATTCCTTTATTCGTTCAAAATATAACTTTCACACCTGCTGTCTTAATGAAACTTGGCACACTTAGTGCACAAACTTAGTGCATCTCACTGGCCTCCAAATATCATCGTCCCAGCAGTCCTATGTTTACGGCGGCGAGCGAAACAAATTTCCCACTGAGAGTGATTATGGCGGCGGCCATCTTGCTTTTCGCAAAATTGCTCAAACCCCTCGTTCGACCGCAACTAGAGAAATTGCCCCTATAAACGACTCAAACTCGATATATAAGAAGTGGAGAACAGCTAGATGCCCTTCTTAGGTCTACCCCAGCTCTCATGCAACATCACCTTAACGTAAGGGCTCAAAAAGCACAAGTTCCGTCCGTGCGCACTTCCGCTGCCACAGCTTGGCATGCGAAAAGGCGCCGCAGGCTGCTGAACGCGCCTCACTGTCGAACGCCAGCTCCTCTGCTAGCGGCGCTACGCGCGTTTTTCAAAGCGCCCCCTATAGTTCCCACACGGAGCGTTAAGATTCTTATATAGCTTTCTCACCCATTGTGTATCCTCAATTGTGTCCAGTCTTTGTTCAAAGTTCAACTCACTGATTGCCTCTGTAGCCTCGAAAGATGGCCAGCCCACGTCTCCCTGCACTCCTTCATTTGGTGTGTTCCCATGTGCCCCAACTGACTCCGTAAGTGTGACGTCATGGGTCCAAACAAACTGTTGCTAGGGTCGTTGTTATGGGCAAATACATGTGGCTAGGTTTTGCTACGAAAACCCGACCGTTCAAAAATCGGGAGTAGGATTTAAACCTCTAAAAATCACAGATATAGAAAGCTTGAATGTCACATATGTTTCGACTGAAGTGTACCAGTAATCGCTTGTTCCTGAAATATTTACGACTGCAACTTCCGGTCCTCAAGACGCATGCAGCAGACGACGAACGCAAGAAGAATGCCGTCTGCCACACGCCCGCCGGCCAAGCCGGCGTCTGAATCGGGTGAATAAAGACGATACTATCCTGATATTACATTTTTTTTTAAATATAATGAGTTTCAGACACTTATAAGAATTCATAGTGGGGTGCGACGCAAGATATGGTTTATCGAAAGTCCGGGCGTCGATCGAGATGATCGTCTGCTAAAAGATTGCCATGCACCCGTGAGAAAAGCACTTCAGGCGATCGGTAGAGATCCCAAATTTTGTTTGCGGACTCACGCTATGGGAGGGTGCTTCGTACCTGGTTGTAACCAAAGTGTAGAGAAAGATTGCAGTTTTTTCAGATTTCTGCGAAACCCCAAAACGCGAAAGAACTGAATAAAAAACATAAGGTGAGTTTATTACAGATTGTACTCTCATCGCGGATTCGATGGAGATGTTAACCGAAAGAGCAGATCCACTATATTTAATGTATACTAAAAAAAAAAAAAAAAAATTGCAAAATTGCGATAGGCATGCAATATTTTAATAACCTGACAACCTCAATAAAAATAATAACAAACGACTTACCTCGACGGCGTACGATTTGTTTCTCACGCTGACCTGCACTACGCCGGTAATGCACTTCAGGTCGTCGTCGTAACTGATCTGCGTGACGTGGTTTGATTTTACGGAATTTTCGCCCTTCTGAACGAAGCTGGGTTCTTCGCAGAAAAAAACACACATTGCAGAGGCCTCTGCGGCCATGACGATGCACTCGCTTGTGTCGATCGTTTACCGACGCAATTCAATAAAGAGGCCCGCTGCAACAGAGGCCAGCAAATCTATCGTGTCGTCTGTTACCGAAGCAAAGCCGAGTGGAATACTTCGGAAATGGCTTTCATCGTTGCAATATGACGCTGAGAAGACAAGAACATCATAATTAGATATCAAGAAGTTAGGTTGCTTACAAAAAATGATTTACTTACTTGTAAGCAAAAATCTAGCCTCGTGTGGAGTCTCCGTGCATTAGTCCCTAGCAATGGTTAGTTTGGACCCAGACGCCATGTTGTGAGGTCATCACTTACGGGGTCAATGCCAGCCTGCTCTTCTGCCGGCTCTCTACGCTCGACTGGACCTCAGATTTCACGCATGATAGCGCATTGCCAGAAGACAACCCCCGCACCATGACTCCTTTCCATATTCCCCCAACAACTTCATATCTACTGTAATTCCATAGTGCCTCATAAGTGCTGCATTCCTTTCTTGAGCATATTTTCTTCCCATTCTTCGAAGCATTCTTTTCCCTCATTCGGCCCTACACCTAGGTATTCATACTTCTCTACGTGTTCTATTAAAGCTTCTCGAGTTTTCGGCGCATTCTCCTTCTCACTGTTGTCAACCATTGTTCCCGACTTGTTGCTACTGAATTTCAGGCCCAGAGGGTCTCCTTCCTCTCCACAGATCTTAATCAGCTCCTGTAACATATCCATCTGCTAACAGTACAATGTCGTACAAGTAGAACATTCCTGGTATAACTTTACTTTTTCCCCTCTCTCCATATATGACACATCAAAAACCTAAATTGCACTCTTCTCATCTCTTTTCCATCCTACTCGTGTATATCGTACAAAGTAGAGGTGGGACAACTCCGCCCGAGTCCTCTTTTTATTTCTGCCAGTTCTGTTATTTCTGCTTCCCACGATATGACAACCTTATTATCTGCGTATAACTGCTGTAAAAGCTTAATCAAATGTGCACCTGGGGGGACATCATTCAGATAAAGCTGTTGTCTCATTTTTACAAATGTTACAAGCGCGAAATGTAGGAGGTAACAAGGCGATAAATCCTATAGTGCAAATCGTCACTTTTAGGAAGAAGCGTGGCTTGGTGTGCCACGAAAATTGTTCGCGTAACAAAATGTGTTGTAGCCCTCTTTCTTTCTTTTGCCTCAGAGTATTGTACATTGCTTCCAGCTGCAAAAAACTTTGTTTCTTACTTGTCCCATGCAATAGCCTTTTTGGCTTACATTGTAGGCTTCTTTTGCAAACATCATTTCAATGAATAAACGAAAAAGTTTTGCACTGAGCAAGAGATAAGAGCAATCTTCCCTATATCTTTGATATTTTGAAATTGACAACCTTCACTGCTAGCAAATCTCTAAGGATGCGTAATACGGAAGTTGATGACAGGTAACGTCAAGATGCTGGCCATGAGGCAGCCACTTTGTGCTAATTAGGGAATGTCGATGCAAGCGAGGCTAAATGCAAACAAAGCCGAGCTCATTTTTCTCGTAGTCTAAGCGGAAGGCGCAGGGACAGGATTTTTCATCGGGATGGGGGGTTCCTCTACGGGATGGGGGGTTCCTCTAAGTGTGCTTAGACGCAGGCCCGAGTCACTGACCTGGAGTTTGACCCTTGCGCTGCGGTTGGCCTCGAGGGGAGTGACGCTGCTGTCCAGTTCCTCTGCCCAGAATGGCACAAACTTCTCAATGCGCAGCATGCGCAGCGCATAGTAGCCCACGTCCAGAACGCCGTAGTCTCGGCCGGCCTTCTTCAGCCGCCCGTACACATGTTGGGCGTACTGGGACAAAACACAGAGTGCTCATTCCGTTAATGAAAGCACCGCTGGTGGACAAAGAACCAAAAATGTCTACTCTGCTGCAGAACAGTCGGATTCAATTGTTCCAGTTTATGGTAAGAGTCCAGTAAAGGACCGGGTTCAGAAAAGTTCTGCTCAAAAAAGCGGTGCAGGATTTTGAGCATGTGCAACAACACGTCCCTTTGTGCATGAATGCGCAACACACACTTCTTCGTCTTACAGATGTAAATCGATACAACTGGTTCTCTGCATGCTTAGACATGCTAGGCTAGTTCAGAAACTGCAGTCATTAATTGGGCAACTACCATACGTATTGGGTCATAATTTTAACTGGAGTGAAACCAAAAATATTTATCTTATTGGAGAGAACATTATGCGTCGGACAGTCATACGGTCAGACTACCAGCCATTCCAGTTGCTCTGGCCCTAGCATCAAAGAGAGCGAGACATATGTCGGATCAGATGCCATCACCATGCAAAGGAAGATAACTAAAAGAAGAGTAAATGTGCAGGTCCACTGCAGACATGACCAATACTTGAGACCATGGAAGCAGAAGACACGTGAGACACACACCTGGTGTGGCGTGTGCATAGAGGAAGGCCTAACTGCAGAGAAGAGGTGCCCTAGTTTTTGTGAAGGTAAAAAGTTCACAAAAGGTCAAAGATGCCCTCTAGTCGGGTATGGTGGGAGTAGTATCCGAGCGGGCTTACCTCCGAAGGGATGTACAGAGAGTAGCCGGGTTCCAGGGTGTTGTTGTAGCCGAGCACGAGCACGTTGGTGGCGTACGCAACGTCCATCTCCTGCAGGGACATCAAGCGGAGGTGCTGCGCTCCGGACACACTGGACTTAACGACTTCACCACCTTAACAATCCCCAGGGAAGCCAATATTTCACTAGGAGGCTACATTCTCAGCCTCTAAGCAACGTATTTGTTGCTAGCTTATGTCTGTGTACACCTTCTTTCCCTCCTTTTATATCCCGCTGCACTTGCATGCCCATGAAGCAAAGGCCCGCAAGGGGCCGGTCGTTACAGTGCGTTGAAGGCGTCTCCGATCGATGTGTTTAGCGTCCTGTTCTACCCATGTGTCGGAAGTAGTCTCGAAGTGGCAACAATTGTCCCAAACGCCGTAGCGCTACGCTGTCGGATGTTGCGTTCCTGGTGGTTGGTGCAAGTAGTTCCAGCAAATGCGAGTGTTGCCGTGGTCACGGCATCCCAACTCCTGGCTGCCTTTCATGAACTGTCGTGCTGTAGAGCGACCTACAGCAGAACAGGTGTCTGCTACCATTGCTGCTGTGCAACACTGCCAGCACCAATGACAGCGTGACGCTTCTACGAGGTCATCGGGTGGAAATCGAAGGGCCCCTTTTTTTGGACGAGGCAAACGCACCAGTCGGAGACGCATTTCAGGCACCATTATGCAGCAGACGAGCAAAGCCTCGCCGCCACCCGGGCATTGGGTGTCGGGAGTGCGCACCTGGCAGGTGAATGGCTCCAGGTCGATTTCCCTTCCCGTGACCTCCTCGAGTAGGCTCCTGGACTTGGGACCCAGGACGTAGAGGACCGTGTAGAGTGAGGTGACGTCCCGCAGGGACACGGAGCCGTCCCGTGGCAGGTGCCGCCGCACCCACTTGGCAATGCGCGTCTGCTGCGCCGTGGGGGACACCATGAAGTACCTGGGCGGGATGGCAGCGGGTCGACTCAACGTGTCCACTCGTAGATCTTTCACTTCAATACAGCTTATTTATTATCAGTAATATCAATATTTGATCATATTATGATTTGATATCAATACTGATGGACGAAGAGCGTGTTGGTGCGGGCCAAGATTGAAAAAAGAATAAACACATAGGACAAAGGCAACACAACCGTATCTTTCAATCAGTATGGCAAGCTTTCTGCCCATACCCTCACTACACTAGCTGAAACATGCACACAGAAACAAAGTCAAGTCTTCTATGTCCCTGTTTAGTTTTTATAACCAAACTTGTCTTAACTTGAGGTTGATGGGATTGAGTGGCTACCATTGGCGATGACGACAGTTATGCAGCAAAACAAGGGTCGACATTAGTCATCCTTGTAGGCACTTTCTTGCCGTCTTCCCTCCATTTCTGACGAAGCGCCCCTGGCCCTCAGAACTTTGGACATGCATGATCCAGACAGGAAACCTTTTGTCACATCTGGGCCCAGATCTTTCCAGAGACAAAGTGAGCCACGAGAGGCTCCAGAGAGATCTAAAATTGGGCGACTCGAGGAGCCTGGTCCACGTTCGCCAAACTGAAGAGTGTTTTGCAGCTTTTCAAGCCTTTCAAGTTCTCAAATTCTGTGAATGTCTCACTGCCGAACGGCCCCACCAAGTGGATTTGTCACTCCTTTCCTTTGACCACCAAAATATAGGCAGAGTGCACCGAAGCAAAGTGGAGCAGCGAGGAAGTGTGGCTCCTCCCGCTCCGAGCACCCACCGGTTGGCGTCCATGCGGACGAGGATGCAGTCGTTCTCGTAGCCTCCCCGGTCGTTCTGCATCCCCGTCTGCACGATGTGCCCCACCGGAACGTCCACCTCGTTGGAGCAGAGAATCTGCAGCAGGGACACCACTTCCAGGCCGCCAGACTGAAACGGGGGCACCGCCATGACCCCAACTGCACAATTGGGAGGAGGGCCTCCAACGACGCTGGCACGTCGGTTTGCCCAGGCCCCATTCGAAACGGGCAGAAAAGTTTCTGGCTGACAATACGCAGGAATCTCCGGACTGCCATCGCTACCACCAGAGCACCATTAAGTAGGGACTTCATTGATGCTCCAGAAACAGTTTGTACATAGTCCTTGCCAAGCTATGTCTCTCCTAGTTATTCTACTACTATATACTGTTTCGGTAATTTCTTGTCTCTTATAATCGTCACCTCCCAATGGCGAACATGAAAAGCACTGACACAGTACACACACGGTTACAACTGGATGCCAAAAATAACTCTAAGGAAATGTCACGTCCCACGATTTTGGTACAGAGACCAAAAAAAACACGAGAGGTACATTATGGACAAACTTGGGAAACAAACAACAAGCACCGAATAAGTGCAGACTAGAAGAATGGGAAAGGTCGCACATTGCCCACCTCGAGGTAGAACTTGGTGAAGGAGGACATGTCGCTGATCCCCACCCTCTCCCGGCAGGCCACGTACTCCTGGTGCACCAGCTCCAGCCAGTCGGGCTGGCCGTACGTGGGAGATGCGCTCATCTGCCTCTCCCCTGTGCACGGGTGAGGACACCACTGCCTGGTGGAAGGGCAGATGACACAGACACGCGACGTCCACGATTCAAACCAGGACAACTCTACCAAGTTGAGGAAACTGCGTGCCGCGGGAGGGCGAGAAAGGGAGCAGAACGTGGCAAATCCTCATCATCAACTCGGTTGTGCCCGCAGAAAGAACGACAAAAAAAGCGGAGAAAGAAAGCAGACAGAAGGTGAGGAATGTTAATTTTGCCACAACGAGTTGAAGTTGTTGGAGTGCTAGTCCACCTTTTTTATTTTTATAAATTGTGCGACGCCGTTATTATTATTATTTTTTTTTGCAAAGTAAGTTAGAAAAGAGCAATATACAGACCAATGTTTTGCTGGCACTTTGTGTATATTAAGGCATTGCCAGCGATATGGGCCATCGGGACCACCTACTGGGACTACTAGTGTCCGCGTCCATGCCCCGCTGTTCTGAAGCGGCCGGAATGCGTGGAACCTTTTCCTCTCAATGATTACACTAAGTCTATGGCGTGCCAGTACTGATGGGTGCGACTCTCGACGGACGTGGCACTAGATTATTTGCAGAAATGACGCAGAGCGAGGGTTCTCGCCCGCAGCGTGCGACTGGGCTCACCCGACTCGTGCTGCGTGTCGAAGAAGAGGGCCCTCTCGAAGCCCATGCGCTCTCCGAGGACGGCCCCCTGCTGCTCCTGCAGGGGCAGCAGCGGCGAGCAGCGAAGACGCCGGCCCGTGCGGAACTCCGCCTGCACACGGGCATCGGGTTCCGTGGGACGCTCGGTTCCTGGCCGGTGCCACGCCGCCTTCCGCACACGTCCACGCACGGGCTCACCCAGCGGAAGAACGGTGCAGATTTTATTGGCAAGACGGTGACAGTTACCCCTAATACTCCGAGATAAGGAATGACACGAAACAGAACCTGCCACGCGCATTCTTTCCCGTTTAGGCGTAATGTTATGCGCCATAAAAGAGCCTCGGTTGCAGTGGCACCCTGCACCGATTTGAACTCTTATAGTAGCCTCAGCACAGCACACGGCTTGCGAGGAGAGAGTTTGCGCTTTCGATCTAATGTTGTCCAGCTACGAGCGAGTGAAACACTGGTGGGTCCGAGTTCAGATGCATCCGAGTTTGGATGAGAGGGCCCCCAAGCTGCAACACGCCCATGTTTCGAGGTTTGTGAATGAGTGAGCTGGCCCGTGTTGATGGTTGGGATTGCCTACGACATCACCCTTGCAGCGGGCTTTGCTGCAATACTATTAGCATAGACTCGAGAAAGTGTGAAACGTGGGGGGCACTCCGATAGTAAATATTAGTTGCACCAGGACTAATACTGACTTCATTTGCACCACATACAACGAAATATATGAAGGACATAAAAAACGAAGGACGTTTACAACTCCCTGTAATGCCGAATTAGAGCACGGCTCTTGAGGAGGAGGGGAGGTTACGGAGAGGAGGGCATGCCCTTCCTCCTCCTCCTCTCATTATTCTCCCCCTCATGACGTCACTTGTGAAGGTCGTGACCTTCAGTGTGAAGGTCGCGGTTTTTGTCGTGACGTCACAACAAGGGTTACGAGCGACGCCACGAGTGACGTCGCTCGTAACCCTTGTGACTGTCGTGACGTGAATTGTGACCCTCGTGGCGTCACGTGTGACATTATTATTGGAAACGTCCCATAATGCAACGCGCAGGTCACGGTGACGTCATTGGAGACCCTCGTGACGTCACTCGTGACCCGCGTGTTGCATTATGGAACATTTCTCATAATGACGTCACTCGTGGCTGTCGTGACCTTCGTGGCTCCACTCGTGACCCTCAACACGTCACATGTGACGTCATTATGCGAAGTGTCTTATAATGCAACACGCGTGTCATGAGTGAGGCCCGCGCATTGCATCATGGGAAACTTCCCATAATGCAACGCGCAGTTATGCTGACGGCGACCCCACTCAAGCCGGAAACGGGCGCCTGAGAGCTGTGCTCTAAAAACAGAACACGAGCTGGGAGTGATGCAAAAGAAGGGGCGAGCGTGAGACCTGGAGCGGGTGTGGCTCGAGGCAGGTGCGCCCCACGGCCTCGGTGACCCTCTCCCTGAGGAACTTGGCGTTGTTGTGCAGGTCGAGGAAGCGGCGGCAGTCGCAGGGCAGCAGGTAGGCCCGGGGGGCCCCGTCACACAGCCACAGTGCCAGGGCACGCCCCACCCCGCCCGCACTCTGGGCCTGGGCCCCGTTCATGCCCACGGCCAGGAACAGGCCCTCTACCTGCACCCGGTCGGCAGAACGCCGACACACCATTGGCGACAGCACCAACCACTCTCCCAGTGTCACCTGATCTCCAGTTTTTATCTGGCACATTTGCTCCATAAGCGTGCACCTGCTCTGTGTTCTACATGCTTCTTTCATCCCTTTGAGTTTCCTCTTGGATTCTGACATGTTGCTCATCCTCAACTTTTAGGAAAAAATGAGGCAACATCAACTGTCAGATTGTGTTGTAAGTTTTAGTTCCATGCTCGGAAGGCGTATGACAGACACTCATAGAATCGTGCCCCTCAGACCTTCAAACTACTTCAAATGAAATAAAGCCTCGCTATACAGTGCAATCCACTTATAATAATATTGAGAAAACCCGAACAAGTAACTGCTCTAACCGATTATCACTGTACCTGGACTGGACACCCCATGCGAACACCTCCAGAAACTGATTGTTATAAGTGGATTGCACTCTCTAGGCACATGAGTGAATCTATGGCCACCCCAATGTCTTAGGCTAGAACATGAGGAGGAAAACCACATAAAATGGGCGCATCTCCATGACAAAAATAAAAATAGTCCCACGTTAATCAACAGTACACTGACAGCAATATTAAGTCACGACGAATTCGTTGGGCATCGGCGTCGCATTCAGGCACCGTGGGGTGTGTGAAAAAAAAGCGTTGAAAACAAAAGAAAAATGGGACCATTTTGTTCCGAACGCTTTTGTTTCTTTTTACAGCGGAGCTGTTAAGGGCTAGTTCCCCCAGGATCCTGTCCACCAACAAATAAATGTCGACACAACACTCCGGACAGCTACCGCCAGCTATGAACGACGGCGGCAACCAGACTGGTTGCCGCCGTTGGTTGCCGCTGTTGCGCGTTGGTTGCCGCTGTCGCTCATAGATGGAGGCACATAGTACTGCTCTGCTGCTCTTCCTTTTTCCCCAGAGTGGAAAAGCTGAAAGTTTTTTTTGTTCTGGATCGCGTGAAAGCGCTTCTCCTGGCACGAGCTCTCGATGCATTGACAGTGCTACAATGCCATTTTGTTATCGGTTATTTTTTTTTTCCCCAGGGAGAGCCTGCAGTGGGCGTCGGGTACTAAAACAGAACTCTAAGTAAAAAGGGGGTTAGTTGTTAACGCTGTGGTATAGCTCTGTGGTAATTTTTTGGGGGATTTGGCAACATGGACGACGGATGCCCTACTAGGCCAACTATAACATCAATGACAACTAGAACAACGCAGATCATTTCCGGTGGTAGGAAGAGCTCATAACAGCTACTATGGCTGTAAACAACAAAAAACGTCCGGGGATGGTGTTCCCCCAGACGTTTCCCCTCTCTGTATCGATGCCACTGCAAGAACCAGTGCAATGAAACATCCTCAGGAGACTGTCCGATTGAAGAAGAGGGATGAATACTTCGTTTCTTTTAACTCTCGACAGCAAAAACTGTGCTGTTTCAAGACGAGCAAAAATACATCTTAATTGTGAAGACTGATGGCAGAATCAATGCCAACTGCATGCAAGATGACTAATCCTTAACCACCCAGCTCTTCTGATCTGAGAAAGAGCTCTGCAAACAGAAACAATGCCAAAGTACCTCGGATGTCTCTCCAAGGATGCAGTGGTTGTCTGGTGTGAAGGTCTCCGGTGCCGTTACGAGTTCTGCCAGCTCCAGGTGGCGAAGGTCTGGGAAACGGTGCTGGAACTGCTCGTAGATGCTTTCTGCAGAAAGGTTGATGCACGTCGGGGTAGCCTCATCAGGTGTTGAACACAGCGAGGGACGACCCACATAGACGAGAAATGGGAAGTCGCTAGGGAACGAAGCGAGACTCAACTGAACTGAGGGTAGTCCGGTGCCAGACGGAGGAACTCAAACTTGTCCGGCACGTCGTAGTGGAAGAGTGGCTTGGCCGTCTCCTCAAAGCCGCCGACCAAGAAGCCGCGGCCAAAGGTACGGCTGTACACGCGGCCATCGTAGTCCCACACCACTGCACGGAAGTGGTCCGTGCCGTCCTCGTCGGTGGTTGGAAATAACGTTCCCCATTGGCCTACTAACTGTGCTAGGTTGGGAGCTGCAGAGTTCATGCCATCACTTACCCGGCAGGGAGCGGTCCGTGTCGTCCAATGGCTTGGTGACGCCAAAAGAGTGCTTGGCAGCGTGGATGGGCACAGAAAACTTGGGCTGGCTGGCCTGGGCTAACTCCCGGGACCACTGCAACGACGGCATGTAGCAACATTGCTAGGGCTCAGAAGCACGGTGAACCAATAAATCGTCGGCCGAATACGCAAGCTAGACCTAACGTCCCAGAAAGGCTTCGCAATATATAAGTATAACATATATAAAGTTAAATGGCCCGGACGTTTTGAGTGCCAAATGCTAAACAAATATCACCGTCCAATCAAAGATACCCCGAGTTCATACAGCTTGATGCCAGAAGGTGTCACAAGACTAGTACTCCTAGGTTGACGTCAGTCGTAACAAAGCTACGGGAGCCCATCTGGCTCAACCAAAAAGTTTACAACAGATCTCCGCCTTTGCAAAACCTATTTTTGTCTCGCACCCCCGTTGCTTCCAACGCCGATTTCTTGAATTTTACTACGGCAAGTGCACATGTGGTGGTGGGCTAGCAGGCGCTCTGCATAAAGGTTATTACCTTTCCGCCTAGCCCCGCACACCACTACACATGTCCATTTACTGCATAAATAAAGATAACTTTCAGTTTTTCCACTCTGGTGAAGAAGGAAGGAAGACCAGCGAAGCTGTGCTATGGTGGGACGACCTCAAGGACCACTTCTAGGACGACCTCGAGGACAACTTTCAAGACTACGTCTAGAGAAATTCAGCCTTTCCACTCTGGTGAAAATCAGAGTGGAAAGGCTGTAAAGGTTGCTGCCATCACTGAGCGACGGCAGCAACCAGACAACTGGCACGCTGGTTGTCTGGTTGCCACTCATAGATGGCAGTAGCTGTCCAGAGTTTTGTGTCAACATTTATTTGGTGACGAACACAAAACTGGGGAACCTAGCCCCTAACAGCTCCGCTTAAAAAGATTTTTATTACGAAAGCAACACGTACGTGGCTCTGAGCAAAGCGCCAGCTATGGAAGCAGTATTAAAACTGGGCTGGTTGGTACTTGTGCATGGTGGTATTAATGCGCCTGAAAAACACGGACAAAGAAAGAAGCACACAGGACGAGGCGTCCTGTGTGCTTCTTTTTTTGTCCGTGTTTTTCAGGCGCATTAATACCACCATGTATGGAAGCAGGAAGCTCACCATGCCTCCAGCCAGGATGAAGTACTCGCAGTTGATGGTGCCCAGCTCGGTGTCGGCACCGACCACGGTGCCCTCGTGGCTCAGAACTCTGTGCACCTGGCACTCCTCCACGTACTGGGCACCTGCAGGGGAGAGGCCTAACCGCTCGGGCTTTACGAGCCCCGCCATTCTCAACAGTGTTCCCCAAGGACGTCGCAAAAGGTGCAACAAACCCTCCGAAACTCTGGGGAGAATCTTCCACATTCGGTGTTTACGACCACTTCTTACACCTACATAAAACATGGAAAGTTGGTGCATGAGAAATCGAGGTGAACTCCAAAATTTTGCCTGCTGGATGCAATGGCCGAAATACAGCTTTGGGGAAAACCTAAACTTGCCACGTTGTGATGCCAAGTTTCGGGAATGTTTTGACACGATACGGACGAAAAATGTTTGGGACACCTTACGTTCATTTGCAACTCCTTGTCTGTGCAGCTAGCATCCCCTCTAAAGCTAACAGCCGTTTACTTAAACTACAGTGAGAACGCGAAAAAATGTGCGCAGGCTTTGTATGTGGGCTAAAAGAAGGTATTCAAGACGGACTCGTTGACTAAAAAGTTAGTATCGGTGTTCTTTATGCAACTTTGAGAGTTGGGTGAACATAAAAGGCCGCGGACCGATACCTGAAGGCTTGTGAAGCCTCGCAAACGGCTAATAATTACAAATACATTCACAAATGCATATTTGCTGTTTTCTAACATGGGGTGTATTAAGTTTTACAATTTTTTTTTTAAGAAAGCAGTTTGTGCACGAGAGTTATGCGGCCAGGGGGTCATAATATATCGAGGGATAACCGTCCCGATAAGTAGGTTAATGTACCTAAAAATTGCTAATTACCTTCTTAATTATTGAAGCTAGAGAGATGGTTCCCATCAGAAACTTGCTGAGCATCCTTAACAACCTTCAAAGTAAATTTTACAAGTATTTGATACGCGTGGGAACTGCTGTGGTGCACTGAAGCTACCACTTGTACAACAGGAGGAAGGCCAGCGGTACCAAGACATGTCCCCGCAAGATCTCTTATCGTCCTCATTTTCGTACAGCCAGCATTGCACCCGTTGCACAAGTCATAAGTTTAGCACACTCCCACACTTCTCATAACCCCCCCTCCATCTTTCTCAAGTTTATTGATTTAATGGTTTTCGATGACACCGAGCAAGTTTCTAATTGAAACATTTATGCTTATTAAAAGTAATTAACGATGTTTAGTGAATTATCTCACTTATCCCGATGGTCAGCCCCTATATTATGTCTGCCTGGCCGTATAAATCACCACCACAGACCGCATCAGCCTGACTTTAGGGCATTCTTAAAACAAATCTGTGAAGCCATAAAAAAAAATAAAGAAAGAACAGTATAAGGCATGTATGTTGATGGTCCCGAAGGTATTTCAATAGATGACATGGGACGTCAGACGCACCTCCCTCCTGGGCCAGCTTAGCGAGGGTCTGGCACAGTGCCTCTGTATCCACCACACCATCCCCAGGCACAAAGACACCTCCCTGGAAAAGCCAGTCCAAGATATGCAACGCACATGTTATTACTTTATATGCTCCCAGCTACCAAGAAATCGCTCCACCTGGTAGCTCTGACTCCAGTAAACTGTGCTGCAGAGGAGTACAAATAACGACACCGATACGAGAAAGACGACGCAACCAGAGCCGTGTATACAGAGGGCTTGGTCAATGGGAGGTGCGGGCAGAGCCAGGGCATGCACCAGATGCGGAGAGTGGGCTTGGCATGCTCTCTTGGCCAACCAGAAGCAGAAAAGAATCCCCTAGCGGTGGTAGCGAGAAACTGTTTTAATCAAAGGTATATGTTGGTATATGGCTTTAACAAGTGCGTAAGAGTAAAGTGTAGAAACCCTTCGTGGTTGAAAATAGGGTGCACGTGATTTTCCGATCATGATCATGCAGAAAGATGTAAAAAATGAATGCGCCGCTGGCAGATTCCCGGCCCTCGATGCTTGGCATACCGATTATGTCGATCGTTCCGCTAGTCGCACTCTTCCACCACGACTTTGGATGACCGTGATTGAAACATCACGTGCACCATATTTTCAGTCGCCGAGAGTTACTCCGACGCACTTATCGAGTTTGTTTCTCGTGACCACCGCCAGGGTATTATTTCCGGCTTCTGGTTGGCCACATTCGAATTTGTGAAGACGCCCTTAAACACGCCCAGCCCGCTTTCGGCCAATGGCGCCCCCTCATTTGTCTCCTACGCTTCCCAGCGAATGGCCAATCTCTCTACATACACGGCTTTGGACACAACATACAGGCACAATTCGCTTCAGTGTAGTTTTTTTGTATTCCTTTGTAGTGCAGTTTAATCGAAGCTCAAAAAACCAACTTGCCCAATACCGAGCACTGCCAAGCTTTGATACTTTTTTCATACATACAACACAACACCATAGCATAAGCATCTTATTCCTTTCTAAAGACAAAAAGGACCAATGGGGCCAGTCCCGACATAAGGACAGGGAACACACTTTAATGTACCATAACCCCCCTCTCCATTTCTTAACACTTCCGACAGTCATAGCAAAGGTGCACGAGGGCTACATAAATGCTAAAATACTCCAAAAGCCAGGTAAGGGCACAGAGAGCACAAAGGCACCTACAGCATAGTGTCTTGCACTTTACTGTCTCCTGCGTGGTAATTAAACTAGTTGTCTCGTTAGGTCAAGCCATTTTTTGTTACACAGATGGTGCAATATCTGCCTCACTTAACCTGCCATACCGCACAACATGCAAGCATTGTAAAGAAGACCACCTTTGAAAAACGCATCCAGTTTATTCTAAATGAACTACAGTCAAACCCGGATATACTGAATTCAAAGGGGATCGTAAAATAGTTCGATATATCGATAGTTTGATGTACAAAATATGTGAACTAAAGCTCCAGTTAAAAATTCCGAGCGTCTCTGCTAATACCGAAGGCCACGACAAATGGGACCTAACCAAATAGAGCCTCTCTTTTTTTTTTTTTTACGACTGTCTCGTGCTGCGTATTTTTGTGCGCGTATGCATGGCGGTCTGCCAGCCCCGCAATGCGAGCTATGTGCTCGCCGCTGGCACAATCCGACCGCGGGAGAAGCTACGGGCGGTGGTGCTCAGTTGGCTCTATGGGGTGTCCCCGCCATGGGAGTTCGACACAGAAAAACAACGCTCCTATACTATTACACGTGGTTTTCAAGGGGATGTATGGATTGTTCGATGTAAACAAGAATTCGAAATACCCGGGTGTGATATAACCGGGCTCGACTGCAGATGTGCAGCCTCGCTGACAACCCCCAAAAATGTTTTTTATTATGTTTTGCAAAACAATTTAATATGGTGTCGGGAGACTACCCAACCAATATTTTGCTGCAGAGCCAGATATATTTTTAATAAAGCCGAAAAACTCAACTGCTCAAAACCGAAACCAAAACATGATCATGGAAGCTCATGTCCGGAAGTCACAAGGCTACACACGACCGCAATGGGGCTGATACTCTTTTCTATTTCTCATATTGAATGTGCGCCTTAGGTGACCCACCACTTTGGTTCATCTATGTGCACCAAATATATATATGTTGGTTTTGGTTTGGTTACATATGTATTGTGGCCAAAAAACCATTTATGTTTTTTTTAGCCACAATATTTATGTTGCGACACTCATTTGAACAATTCTGGAAAATTATTTTCTTTCGGGGCCGACGTCTCGGACATGAAAGTAGTATGTTTGAGAATCGCTCCCAACGAAAAATGTGTCTCGCGACGCAAACATTGCACTGATCTTTTTAGGGGGGAGGGGGCAATTTACTTTGTGACCCACAAATCCTAACCTGGCACTTAAAAAAAGAAAAAGAATAGGCTCTTATTCTTTGGGAGTTGAGTGTCCTTCGAAGAACTCTTATCCCACGGGTTGTCTTGTGCAGCGTCGTGCCCACTCACCGCCAGGTCCTCTGTCCTGAGAAACGGGTGGAGCTCCTTGAGGGACTGCGGCTGGTGCACGGTGCAGTCGACGCCCCGCGCACTGCGAGGGATTCGGGGGGAGACACTGACAATGTCCGCGTCGCATCAACATTTCCCCAAAGTGGCAAAGACACTCTATCGAAGCTGGTGGCACGCATCAATTTGTACCACGAGAAAGCACAAAATGAGAAAGCTGGTACGCACGTGACAGAGCAGAACAAGGGATGGAAGTGCGCAATCAAAACATCTAGCTTTGGTGACACAGCTTCTAGAAGGTGACGTTTACTAACTTCCGCTGCCATGAGTGACGATAGCCGAATGAGCTTCAACTATCATCACCGAGCGGAAATCCACGTGACTACATCATTGAGTTTGGCAAAGAGACTGAAAGAAACAGTCTACCGGTATCTTTGAGGTACAGTGAGGACGGCGGCATTATACGCGAGTATACTAGGACCACACAATAGGGCCAGTCCGTAGGGTCAAACATATTTTGACCCAATATCGTTGCGCCGTTCCTCGGAAGAACTAGAAGGTGGCGGACAAAATGGGCCCGCACCTGCCACAGCATTTGAACGAAGACACTCCCCAGATTTAAGGAAATGGGAACACTAACCGTGCTTCAGCAGCCAACCTTTGGAGGGACACCATGCGCTTGCGTGTCCTGGCAACACTGAGGGTACCACATTGTTGCCAGCCTGCAAGAACACGCAGAAGCTATGCGGTGAACCAGCTTTAATGCGCAAACAAACTCACCGATGTCGTGGCCTTCCTGCTGCAGGCTGTCGTACAGCTTGACGCTGGAGCGGGCAATGATGCCGTTGACGGTCGGGTGGAGCTGCCCCGCCAGACCGCTGCTGCGCCACGTCGCACCGCAGCCGATGCTGTGGCGAGAGACGGCCCCTTCGCACGCTGCCTACTTTGCTTTGCCACTTTGCACCCTTCAAAACAATTCACGCATGCAAGGAGCCAGCCGCGGGCCAATTCATGATCCTAGCGCCGGTATCCGAGGCAGCAGATGCTCTTTTTGTGTCCCACGTGCCCATCGCGTGAGCAAGTGGAACCAGATCCCAAACGCCATTTTTGCCACAATGTCCAATCCACCTTGGACGAAAATATTTTTCATGATACACGGAGGACGAGTGCCTCTGGTTATAAACACGTTTGCTATATCCCGTCGGCTCGCCGAGATGCCTAAGCCTACGGTTCCAAAATTGTCCCGATTGCGGATTATGTCTTGCCTCAAAGTGGGCGCAAAAAAAACGTCGAATCACCATTTGCTCGAGTAGAGCAAAGAAAGAGAGACAGAGGGGACGAGTCCATTTACTTTCGATCCCGTATAGTTCTGTGTAAAGGTGAATTATATATAGTAATAGAACCCACTCGTACGTCCCGATAGGTTTCGTTGCCCATTACGATGTCAATGCACGCTTACAGTTACGTGTATATGTACATCGAGTAGAAGCTAGCCTGCCCTACAGCATCCTTGTTTGGAGCTCTCGACATACTAGTAGCATTTGCTAAATGATTAGGGTGACCGCCTTCCTTCTAGCGAAATGCGGGACACGCGGGGCAAGGAGGGGGCGGGTAGAGGAAATTCATCAACATGCACACCACAAACTGAGGCTCTGTTAACAGATTTAATATCCTGTGCTGTTTATACACCTGCAAATTGTAATGCAGCAACTAAGCTAAGATAGTTTTCAATCCCAGTTTTATATTTTTTATGACAAATATGTTATTAAATGTGTCGAAGTTGAAAGCATGAAAATCAACTCTAGCAGCACTCAATGCATCTAATGAAATTAAGAAAAATTAAATCTTTTTCGGGTTATTGTTTTCTGTCAATGCTTACTTTTATCAACATGGTCCTATACAAATTTTTAACATTATGTTCTTTTTCTTTTTGCATTGTGTGGCTGTCTTCACCAAAAAAAGAAATTCGCAGCAACCCTTTCATGTTATAACATCAATACGAAAATAATGGCAATAAACGAGCAATTTCCTCTTACAATAGTTTGCCACCAAAGGGAGAGGCACAACGGCGCATGCCTGCCGGGCTCCTGCAAGAACGACGGTCACTTCCCGCAATGCTTGCATAGAAAATGGCATACCATTGCAATACACACGATTGCCACTGACCTCCGCGCTTCTCCGTGCTTCGTTGTTTGACAGCACCGTAAGTTGCAGAGTGAATATTACGGTAGTGTGAAATGCGGGACATTTTGAAGATTTGAGAATTTTTCGCGAGACGCAAGCCTTCAATGCGGGACAGTCCCGCGAGTCGCGGGACGGGTGGTCACCCTATATATGACGCACCAGCATGGTTGCACAAATAGTGATTGTGTCATCTTTGTTCCTTAGTTATTGATGGATGCGGGGCCATCTTCGGTACACTGGAACCGGACGTCTTATCAAACGCAGTTTCGTCAAACGCCGTTTCATAGAAGCTGTTTTATTGCATGCCGTTTCCTGGAACGCCATTACATCGAACACCACTTTATTGAAACTGTTTCGTCGAATGGTTTTACTTGAAATGAAATAGTTGGCACAACTGAAATTACCCATCTAGATTGACTGCCTCAATCCTGCGACTAAGCAGTTAACGACAAATGCTTGGCAGGCACAGCAACGCCGCAACTTCAACTACGTAACAATGATCACGCGTGAAATTTTTTTATACCCTCAAGAGGTTTTCAAGACTTGTTTGTTTTCTGCAGCAGAGCTTTCCACCGTGCATGAATGGCTGCAAGCTCGCTTGCCCGATTCTTTTTTGGTGCTAAGGCGCGCCATATGTCAAAGGATGCACTCTCACCGGGAGACAGTGTGCATCTACTTTCAAGGCATAAAAAAGGAACGATAAAACGCAAGTCACTTGGCACAATACCTGCGTGTGGGGAGGCACGCATTTTTATAATGTGCAATACCATAAATATAGGGATTAAAAAATTCGATCTTACGGCGTTTAATGAAATGGCATTCAATGAAACAACAACTCTTTCTACCGTAAATGTCCGGGAACCTTACGCTAGCCAGATCGGGTTTACGCATTTAAAGTAGTACAAAAAGAGTGTGTTCATGCGCCTGTGTATTCACCCGAAGCAATGGCGGACGGCAAAGCCGTGTAGAGTTTGGTCAATGGAAGGCGCGGGCAGAGCCAGGGCGTGCACATGACGCAGAAAGAGGGCTTGACATGCTCTCTTGGCCCACCAGAAGCCGAAAAGAATCCCGAAAAGAATCCCCTAGTGGCAGTGTTGCCAACCTATTTTTTGAAAATACCCCACGCCAGCGTCCAGAAAACCCTACGTTACCCTACGAATATTTCTTATTACCCTACATTCTACCCTATGAGGCAAATCTTTGTTCAAATAATGCTGTTGCATGGATTATGCTGATATAGGGTAGTATTAATACGGTACAAAGCGACAGGGTACACATGCACGCGCATACCTGGGTTATTCTACAGGGTTCGATCGAGAAAAGTAAACCCTACTTTTCGGCCCGCGTGAAAAATACTATGCATCGCAAAACGCTCAAACTCCACCAGAATGTAACCCTAGCGGTCCAAGCAAGATGCCAAGGTTTCAGCCCGATCCGACGACTTAATCAAAAGTTATGTGATTTTCTGAAAATTTCAATGGGAAAATGGAGCCCATTTATGCCCGTTTTCGGTTTCTGGTGCCATAGAGCCCCATGTGTTTGAAAACTCCGTCGGCCGCCATTTTCCCATTCAAATTTTCAGGAAATCACTTATAACTTTTGATTAAGTTATCGGATCGGGCTGAAACTTTGGCATCTTGCTTGGACCGCTAGGATTACATTCTGGCGGAGATTGAGCGTTCTGCGATGCGTAGTATTTTTCACGCAGGCCGAAAAGTAGGGTTTACTTTTCTCGATCGGACCCTGTAGAACACCATGCTTGCATGCGCGCTGTGTAGCATCAGCACAACAGTGTCGCTTTGAGTGCACAGACATCCCCAACCAACATGTTTAGCTGATTTGTCATCAAATTAAAAACTGGGCTACGTGGGACCAGCACTCGCGGCGACAGACCACGCGGCTCATTACAAAAGGAAGCTAATCGGAACGGTATATTAGCTTATTCTTTGGGTGAACCGCCTAATGATTCCTCAAACTAAGGCACTATTTCGACAAACTAGGCTATTACAACGGGGTAGGATAGAAAACCGGCGGCTCTTCCGTATTCGCTAAAGTGTCATTCGATGAAACGTGATGGTTTCGACTTTGTTCGCTAAAACGTCGTTCACTCAAGTGAACGCCTCCAGTACCAACTACTTGCGCAGTCGGTAGACAGTCTTCAAACTGCCTACCGACTGCACAACGTGCCAGGAAGCTCCGCGGGAGCTTTGAAATCGGTTTCCGTACTTGTCGATCATCCGTGATCAGCGCTCTATGAGCGTGGTAAGGAGAGTTAATTGCAATGCGCCATAACAAAAAAAAAAGCGCCCAGTACGAGTGGTAGTTCCCGCTATGGTTATTTGCAGCATGCGCACCTTACGCCAGCGCGTAGAAAAGTCCAGTTGAACAGGTGGCAGCCAGTTCTGGTTGGCTCGGCCTGGTTCCGCCCGCGGTGCCATGTGTTTCGCAGGTGTAACAAGGGCCGCCGGATGGACCAGAGTCATCAGAAAAAAATTGGCGGGAACATTTCCAGTGGAAAGATACGTCCTCTGGCTCCAAACTCCATTTGCGCAACTGCACCTCCTCCCGCCTCCTCCCACTTGCTCCAGCTTTCCAAAACTCTCCAGAAAAAAACATCGAGGGACTTTACTCCAACTTGGCGTGTGGTGCTCTCTGTTAGCACGTCTTGTAACTTGGATACTTTCGTTTTGCATGATGTCGTGGTGTGGCAGCACACGGGTTGTAAAGTTATGCAAAGCTTGCACATAAGCTTTTTTTCATTTTTTTGTATTATGCTGGCCGTTGAAGAAGCAACGTCTGAAAATACCCTACTTTTGGCAGGGAAATGGCCCGACGGCCCTACAACCCTACAATGTACCAAAAATGCCTAAAATACCCTACAATTACCCTACGGTTGGCAACACCTAGTGGTGGTAGTGAGAAACAGTTTTAATCATAGGTATATGGTTTTAGTAAGCGCATAAGAGTTAAATGCAGTAACCCTTCATGGTCGAAAAAAGGGTGCTGATGTTTCGATCACGATCCTGCAGCACCTGGAGCGCTGCTCAAACCTTGAGAGCTACGGGCCTATGCACTAGCGGACGGTATTGATGTCGCCGGCCTGTCCTAACGCGGACCTCTTCCCAGGCGGGGCTTGGGCTGCAGGCATGCAGTGAGCGCTTGGAGGTTCCGACGAGGCTTGGTGCAAGCTCGGGCTCGCGAAAAACAGACAAGGACAAAGGACAGCGCTCGTCCCGTGTGTTTCGTCTTCGTCTGTTTTTCGCGCTGTTTTTTACGATGAATTTCCACCAACTCGCCCAACTATATCCGTTCTTCTAAGGCTATATTAGTTTCCCTACATTCATTGGACACAGCCCAAAGGAAAGCAGCAGCGCCGAGACCGCTTGCGAGAGCAGAGGGCGAGCACAACTGCCTCGCGGTTCAGCTAAGAGGCTCACCGCCCTTTCTCGAGCACCACCAGGTCGGTCCATCCGCGCTTGACCAGGTGGTAGGCGATCGAGTTGCCCACCACTCCCGCGCCGCATATCACCACTCGGGCGAGCTTGGGCAGTACGCGTTCAGACATCTGCAGAGAAGACCGTCTCCTGGCAGCACTCGTCTCTGAAGCGCCCGAACTCTTCTTACTGATTCACGAGGTCAGCTGTGACTTGATCGGTTGCCGAAGGTAACGCTCGACCAAGAGAGCGACCGTGATGGCCTACGAGAACCCCCGGCGGGTGCCGCCGAACATTTTCGGTCACTTCAGTCCTTCAGTCGCAAGCAAAACCAAAACAGGATCCGAAATTCCGAAAAATAACAATAGCGATGGCCCTTCAGCTGCTCTCTAGACTCAGCCAACTCAGCTCCTCTTCTCTAGTTAACAATAACCTCATTAACTAACTTTGACAAGCAAGATTATAGGCTCATCAAATTGTTCATTTATAAAATATAAATGCAAGTTAGATTTTACCTTAATGTATTTTGTTGGGGTTGCCTCGCGACTCCTTTTAGCTACATTCAGCTCGGCAGCTTGACGCTTGGCTTGGCGGCTTGGCCAGCTTGGCTTTGAGTCAAGAAAAATGGCAGCCGAGGTGGCCGAGGTATCGCTTGAGCCGAGCGTCGCTGGCGCAAAACCATTCCAAGTAGGCACCGTTGAAAATTTTACAAGATTGCACCGAGCATTCTTTTAAAATAGGTGGTTCTCAGTGTTTTTAAGCGAGTGTATGTGTCTGGTATCAGGCCGCCAGCGATGTCAGACACAGGGCACCATGCGGTCAGCTGTGCTGTGCGCACTGATCGGAGGTCGTGTGTCTCTGTCCCACTGCAGCCCGGCGATGAGTTGGCGACTGAACTGCCCGAATTCATTTCCCTGCTGAACCAAGTCAGGGAAAAGGCGGACCTCGTGAGTGGCGCTGTCAGGAATCTCCGGACTCGAGCCCAAACGGGGGAACTGAACACTGGCAAGGTGAGCGTTACATGCTGGCTGGTGCGCGATCGAGCAGCTCTCCCGCTGGCTTGGGCGAGTTGCGCGTCACCAAATCTTCAGGGGCGAGCAGTTCGCGAAGAGGGAAAGCTTCTCTCTTACTCGAACCCTCTTCCCTCACGTCGCCGTCCGATTTCTGCTGGCTAGAAGCGTCTCGTTAAAGGGATACTCCATCGATTTTGTTTATGATCGCCTCTTTGCGTCAAAATTGAATTTAAAAAAAAATTGCGAAGTTATAAAATTTTTGAATTTCGTTCTCATTGTATTTATCAAACCGAGAACCCCTACACTTGTATCACTGGAGTGTGACGACAGAAATGGTACTAAGTGGGCAGTAAACCACGTTTTTAACTGGTTACAAGACGTTTGACGGTGGGGAAAGAATGCTTGGAAGCTCATTCACTGCCAGACACTGCCAGAGAGCGCGCAGAAATTTGAGTGTTGGTTTTGGCATCTAACACGGCGTATAGTGAGAATGCCAGCTAGGAAACAAGGCCTTTCACCCCCAAACGTCATCACTAGTGGATACACACAGTGCCGCCTGCGTCAGCATCGCTGCCAGCATGTCTCGCATCTTCTCACGGCAAGTGCGACGCTAGCATGCGACGATGCCGAGAGGAACGCGTGTGCCGATTTTCGGCATCGAGCTTCGACTTGTTTGGGGCGAGGATCCACCAATAAAGACGTCATACGCAGGCCTCGTCTTCTAGCTGGTATTTCTGGTGAGCACTGCCCGTCTCCCCATGTACCACCACAATCAAGAGACTTCTTGCATCTGACGTCACCTCTGGTTAGAGTCGGAATTGGAACCAACGTTGCCGTCCGATACGAGCGCTTTGGCGCCATGTCGGAAGCATTTGGCGTCAAATTGCGGCTGCAGTAGTGCCGTAGAGCCATAGAGCCGTTTTTGCATAACCACATTTCAAAATATTTTCTTGCCCTAGTCAATCGCAAAGAGGTTCCTCACCTGACACAAAGTGCAGTCCACAATCCCTTAGTCGGGGCACGAAGCTTTTCTCGAGATCGTAGGGTTAATATAATATTCTGTAGAGTGAAAGGCCCCACGTATTTGGCCGCTTCGGAACGACGGGGCATAGACGCAGATATTGGAGATCCCGATGAGCCCATAGCGCTGACGACGCCTTAATATGCACAAAAAAGCAGCAAAACATCATCTGTCAGGTCTGTACCTTGTCATTTCCTCTTACTTTGTAGGAAAACACCGGAATCGTGCATTCACAAAATTAAATGAAGTTGACAAGTGCTCGAGCAACTTCAACTTGTTGCGGCAAAGCGAACAGGCCCAACCCTTTGTCTGCTTTCTTTCTCTCCTCTTTTGTCGCTTTCTTTCTCGTTCTCTCTCTCTTGGCACTGGAGATGTTAGCTCCCAGGATTTGCCGCGCTCTGGTCTTGTCGGAGCCATTCATGATGCTGGCGAGCCGATCGCTCGAGCATCGCCTTGTCCCGCTTCCCAATGATTGCTGAAATTCATTGGCAGACACTCCTGAAGTGAGGGAGGGCTTAATGAACGCAGAAGGTTACTTGTCTCGACCACAGCACGCATTCTGCGGAGCATTTACAGGGGCCACAGGTAGCACCGCGGCTCAGACAGAGCAGTGCTCACACTCACGTTGATCGTGATAGTACTCAGCGTGTCGAGGTTACAGTGGACTGAGATCGGTTCATTGTCCCGTCTTTCCCCGATAGCACGCTGGGAAAGCTGTTTCTGTCTTCTTGCTTTCAGGGTTTGAGTTTTCTCGAGATGAAGAATCACGTGATGCTCTGCTACCTGCTGGATGTTACCAACGTGGTCTGGAAGAAGGTGACCGGGCGGAAAATCTCGAGCGACCCTTGCATCCGCCGACTCATAGAGGCCCGGACGGTGAGTTGCGTCACCTGCATTTGGCTCCACTTAGCTAGTCAGAAACACTTCCGGAGATATGCCAGCTGGCACGAGGGGAGGTTGGACAGCAAGCTACAACAGGGTCCAAACCCACCGTCATCTGGGGGCTGCCATGTTTCCCCACAGAAAAAGCTGGCCAAGCTCTCCCGCCTCTTTTCCAACGGAAGTTTTTTCACCGTAGCAAAACCGGCCGAGGCGCAAACCTCCCGCCTCGCCTCCATCGTAGGATGGTGGAAAGTATGGTTCACGTGCGTTGTGTGTCTCGACCACCGAAGAGCGGGTCCGCCACTGCAAAGATGCACTCTAAAAGAAAACTTAAACCTAGAAACGCATCCAAATTGGGCATTTTTTTTTTACGCCGTAAATGATGCCCTTGCCTCGTGTCTGGTCTCGGGGGAAACTTCCACCGCCAGGCAGACAGGGGCAGTCTGTCTAGGGAGCAGGGTGGACTTTAATCAACCAATAGAACGTAGAGTTTGCCCTGATGACCTTATTCCACATGTTGAAACTTGAGCTGCCAACGTGATTTTGTCCCCTGTGTGCAGGTCCTGGAGAGAGTACGTCCCATTGACCAGAAACTCAAGTACCAAGTAGACAAACTTGTGAGGACTGCCACTGTTGGGGCCATCAGTGAGTGAGCACCTTCAATGACTAATGAAGCTCAGAAGCATTTTTTTCTCTCATGGCCAGGAACACATTTTTAAAAATGCTCCTGCTTAAACATGTATGTTGTTATTTTATATGTTTGTAAACGTCCACAAATAAGTTCCTTTCCCCCTTTTGGGTCAAAAAAGGCTGTCTTCTAATTTGATAACGGGGGAATAATAGACCCTCCAATGTAATGCCGGTGAGGGGCGGGACGTTCACAGTTTCCAGTCTGAACCTGAAAATGTAGTATTCAGTTTGCATCTTAAGATGAATCCTGCGTTCTTTTAGCACTTAAAAAAAATTGTAATAATTTTGTTCAGTTTCTTTTTCAAACTGGAAAGAATCAAAGTGGCAAAAGATAATGAACAAGTGAGAGAGACAAGCAGTGCTTTGTCTTTTTGTTTCTTTTACTCGTTTATTGTCTTTTGGCACTTTGATTGAGTCTAGTTATGCCGGTATCAACTAGCCAGAGTTTATACTCCGTTATTGTTTTCTTTAATCTTTTCCGAACAGGAGGCCCTACGCAAATGTTCAAAAGTGATGTCACTTATAGTGACTGCATTATGCTGTTTCTACATACCTGTCGAAGATTCTGTTGCGTAAGTTTGCATTGGCTCTACCTCATCTGGGCGTCTAATTTCCGACAGATGCGGATGACCCGCTTCGCTTCAAGGCCAACCCCGCAGCTCTCCAAGCGAACGTGAGTTGGGTCTCGGATGAAAATTTGCTTTGTGTAGTCCAGCCATCAGGCTTTCTTGTTCAGCACATTCAGCCCCAGCAAAATCTTTCCTGGATGGAGCATAACGTTCACACACCTGAGACTCCTTAGAACCCAGCAGCTTAAAATCTCTCGCGACAGGAGAACGCACGTAGGGTGCCTACATGTCTGTCTCAGGGAGAAGACATCCATTGTTACCCTGAATGTGCCGGCGTGCGACGCTCTGGCGCACTCGGTGCACGACTTGGGTGGTCAAATGGTGTCTATGCATTAGCTAAAGCTACCCGCTCGAGCTGAGTGACACCGGATGCGCGCACTTCAAAATGCATAAAGAAAACGATTGGGCGGAAAAATGGCTGAGATGTCACCACTCAAGCAAAAGCGCGCGTGTGTACGAAGGCACTCTAAACACGCTGACACGCTGGCGCCATCTATGCGGTGACCACGGAACTGAATTTCACTAGAGCGAAAGTTTGGCGGTATATCCGAGGGAGAATGTATGTACTAATACGTGAAATAAAATGTCTCGGTTTTAACGTCAGTTTTGTCGTAATAACTAGGTCAGTATTTGTGCAGGGCGAGCATTATAGTAATGTAGTTGTTCTGCAGCAGCACTATAAATGTGGCACAATGCGCACCAGACACCCTCTCAGAACTCTAGTCCCTCGGTTGTCTCTGCTCTTGTTCTTGTGGGCAGCAGCGATTGCATCTTGGGGCCCTAATCTACGAGCGGGATTGGGGGACATTGCCACCTACTGCAATGTCCCACTTGGTCCCGCCCTGCAGATCAGGGCCCTTGGGGTCTGTCGGGAATTCTCGGCTGAGGAGGGTTGACATTGCAGAGTGGCGACGAAGAGGCCCACGAGGAGTCGGGCCAGGAGAGTGGCAGGGCGCAGGAGGCCAGGGTCAGGGCGTACATGCCCCCCAAGCTGGCACCCACGCACTACGGTGAGCTCTGCTTTGCTTCCCCAAACGGGACCACTAATGCCTCGGACGAGCCGGCAGATAACGAGGTTGTTCTTCCCTTACAAGAGTGCTCTCTGGCGGCCTTAAGCTCTTGGTTTTAAAAGGGAGCCGGGTCTGCATCTTTGCCTCTGTGACAACCATGCAGTACCATAGAGTATTTTCAGGGGTGGAACGGCTGCGCCATTTGCGCCATTTTGCACCAGACGCATGTGTCTGCGCCATCCTGCGCCATGTTGCAGAAACTGCGCCACAGCCAATACCTCGCGCCATTATGCGCCAAATCGCAAAACGTCCGCCAAAAAAAAAAGTTTTATTTTGTCTTGGTTTCGGTTTTTATCGATTCGATTGTCAACAATGAGGGCGTTAAGCCTGGTCGGCCTTGCAATCCCTTGTTCTGTTTATTCCCCTTGTCTATCCCGAGTCGGAAGCGCGCGAAAAAACTCGGATTCTAAGCGCTACACCACCTGCGACTGGATTGTTACTCTTCAACCATAAGCGGTAGGGCAAGTAGGCCGAGGTGAGGTCGAGTCGTTAAGCGTCAGATTGCACGAGGCTCTGCGGCCCGGGATCCAGACGTCATCCAGTCGAAAGCAAATGAGCAAAATATTCCTTTTAGTGCTTCATCGTTAGGAGTTGGAACCGCATTCTTGCAAGATAAATCGTGATTTGGTAGAACTGAGACGCGGTCCGATCCGAAACCTTGCCAGTCAGCAGCTCTACTTATCTGCTCGGCGTACTTTAACCTTGCTCCTGCTTATCGCTTCAAATACGATAACTTCGTTAATCGTAGTCTGCTGCTTCGATATCGAGTTGCACAATAGGATAAACTCGAAATTTGTTGCCCTGTTCCTCCGTGCAACTGCACGTCGGTTGCTTACGCACGTCACGTGGTTCGCACACATAATTACTATGTCGAGCACGTGTGGGTTGTGCGATAAGTAGAGCTGGTTTGCATCTTGAGCGTCTGAAGGCCACTCAGAAAATATCAAGGACGCTATCTTCAGAAACATAGAGTACTTGCTGTTTGATTCTCATTAAAGCTCACAAAGATTCAAGTTTTCGCATATATTACACTGTTATCCCCTCTACCTAGGTCCCTAACCGCTCATGTTCATCTCTGCTGCTAAGCACAATTGAAATTGCTTTCGTGCTTGTCTAAGATACAAGCTGAAGTGCAATGCAAACTGATCTGAGCTGCTACTAGCCTGCTCCAGAATGTAGTTTTAGCTGCTCCCAACCTGCTCCCAACCTGCTCCAAAACAGCTGTTTCAGCTGCTCCCGTGGCTGCTCCCAAGTACATTTCATGAGTTCCACCCCTGATTTTGAAGCGGAATTCTTACGAGCGAAACTTAAATGTACAACCAGGCCCATCACATTGTTCTTTCTGCTCGTAGACGAGTTCTTTTGCGCTAGGCATAGCTTTAATTTTCTTAATATATTTGTACGTCGTGTAGATAACTGAAAGTGCTCATCTTTGAGTAATCACCTTGCAAAAAAGTCTTCTCGCCTTCCGACGACTGAAACTTTTGCCAAGTATGACAGGTCCCCCGTTGTTCCACTTGGAGATTCTTCCGCGTTTAGAAGAGAGCCATTACAGGCTGGGAGTTCTCCCTCATCTCTACGTGAAACTGTGTAAATGAAAAGTCAATGGCATTTCTGCAAAGTACCTTCGGTGCTGCTGGAAACTCGCAATGGTCCTTTCTTGTGGAGGACGCGCGCAAGCAATCTGCGACGGTTCCTGGGCGGTCTGCCCCACAGAGGGCGACCTGACGGAGAAGGAGCGCCGGGAGCGTGTGCTGGAGCGTGCCAAGAAGCGAGCCCTGAGCAGCAGTGTCATGAGGGAGCTCCGCAGCGACTTCTACGAGGGACCCGTCGAGATCAAGGTACCGCCTCCTGGCGAGCTTGTGGGGAGGTGCCACGGGTTCAGAGGCACCATTCCGAGGCCTGGAGCGGAACTCGCCTCCTTTGGGAAGTGGACGTGGCAACCGAGTGACGGCTTGTTGGCCATCTGTTGACAAAGCTACGTCTGCTCGATAAGCGAAACTCGTGAATTGCGCCTCGTCTCGATTATGCTCCAACATGTCGGACTCGTGCGCTTAGACAAAGAGCATTTGAAATGAGCTGCGGTCGAGGTTTTGTTTTGGGTCCTTCCGAGACAAATTGAGAGCCTTTGTCAAAGCAAATCGAGAGAACTAGCATAGTGGCCCAAATGTTAAAGAAAAGTTGCATCCTGTCACTGTATAGTCTCGAAGCAGCTATTTCAAGAATCAGTCCAGAGATCATTCTCAATTTGCAAAGGTTAGCGGCAGATTTCAGCGTGCAAAGGTAAATAATTTTCTCGAGACTGCCTTAGAACTTGTTAGAAAGCTTGTGCTGCCGACCATCCGTTGCAACAGACTGTAGAACTGCACCACCTCCCCAGTTTGCATGGTCCGAGGCATTAGTCCTTTTGCAGTTGAGCCTTACGTTCTCTTACAGGACACGTACAGCACGCACCGGGCCAAGCAAAACCAGGCCATGCAGGAGCGGACCACGTGAGTGCTCTGCTTCCCACTGCCTCGGTGCAGCTGCTCACAACCCAGTGCGGGTTTCCTGGTTCTCTTGGACTGGGCTTTGTGCAGCAGTCTGTCAACGAGGCTTGAGTGCTCACTTTTTGCCACTTGTCTGCCACAGGTACGAAGAGGACAACATGCTCAGGCTGCAGCTGACCAAGAAAGAAAGGGTGAGTCCACACGTTGGAAGTTCTTGCTCTTCACCCAGTAAATTGCTTTTGGAAAGATCTGGGCAGAGTCCCCTGAGGCAAGAAGTGGGATTCTGGAATGTTCTTTTCCTCTCCAGAACATGGCAAAGCAGCTGGGTACAATGTCCAACCTGAAGGAGCTGACGCACTTCGGAGACTTCTCGGCGCTGGACGCAAACACCGTCGACGTAAGTCGAGAGTCGGCCCCACGCCGGTCGTGCCGGAGGGGCGACATTCTCTTTCGAGCCACTTTCAGCCAAGCCACTTGGGTACAGTTGTCTCGCGTGAAGAGGTTATTGACGCTTCTAATCTGTACCTTTCAGGACCTCCAGCCGTCTAGGAAAAAGCCCAAAAAGGTAGGTGAAATTAGCCATCTCTCCCTCACTTCATAACTTTAGTAGGGGGGGCCAGAAGTAATGATTTTGTTACTACTTGTGCAGGTGTACAAGAAGAAGTGGGGCAAGAAAGGTGATCAGAGTTATTTTTCTGTTTTTATCTTTTCCCCCGATATATCGCTTTCTATGTCTCATTTCTGGTCTTGCCATTGTGCAGGTTTCCGGAAGGGGAAGCGGTGATGTTTGCTGGAAGACAACATCCCCACCTGTCCGCGATGAGAAATTTACCGTAATCCCTCTTTGCCTGAAATGGACCTACCCAACGAAATAAAGTTGCTTAGAAGAGAGTTTGATTGAAAAATATTGTATTCTGCGAGGGAGGAGTTTCAGCTGTTGGCCTGGGTGTTGTTGCAGAGCTTGCCGTAGTTGTGCTCCACCGCCCTCTCCAGAAAGTCCACCCACTCCTCCGAGCTGTCGTAGAAGTGGCCCTGCCTGCACAGGGGCACACAGAGCTCTTCACGCACTGGTCGCGGCACTTTCTCTACGTGGATGTGCGAGCAGCTGGAGTGCAAATTGTGACGACACTTTCAAGATGCTGCTAAGGGAAGAACGGAGAGAACCTGCCTTGTGGCATCCAGGATGGATAGTAGGTGCTGCTTCAGCTCACCGGCCTGGAGGAAGAAAAACACTCTGGTCACTTCCTCTACGGAAACTTGCGAGGCACCCTCAGCTACCCTAATTCCTCGAGATACTTCCGCCGGTGTAGGTACAGGGTTCTCCCCACGGTGGGCGGCGACTGACCGCCCACTGCTGGATTATGCCGCAGGATGATGATGCGTTTTTGCCTGTGCACATGGCTGCAGACCGTTACACTCGGCTGGCCTGCAAACCACCACGTTATCGTGTGTTATCGCATCGCCCACTGCCACCACTCCTTCAAACAAGGAGAGCGGAGCCGCAGAGCGCCATCGGCAGTGGGGGGGGGGGGGGGGGGGAGGCAGAGGAGAAACACTAAATAAACAGACGCGGCGAACGTGCATTGGCACAGCAGTTCTCTCCGCAGGCGGTGAGTGGCAGAGAGCAGAAAGGACTTTTCTTTACTGCTCAATGCTTGCTCTATCTTGGCCTCTTCGCTCGCTCCCAGCCTTTCCTTCCCCACTTTATTAATTGTTTTTTTGAAAGGCAATTAGGTTTTTTGTTTTATTACCATGGCGTAGCATTACTCACAGGGCCGCAGAATCGGAGAGCCTGCGCAAAGTGTGTTCTGTTGGCAAGCCAGATCGTGTCGCATTGCAAACTGACCCCCTCCCCGCCGCTGCTGCTTGCCTGGTGGTTATGTCGATCCCTAAAATTTCATGGGGAGAACCCTGTATAGGTAGTACTAGTAAATAAATATATTATTAATTTATTTTCGCAAATTTTAGATTGGAACAACACTGAGCTCGTAATACGTCCCAATTCTTTACCAAAACTGTGGCTATTATACTTTATGTTGCTAGTTTCACGCACTGCCGTGAAAGCCACGAGCGGGATGGAGAGGAAAGCCGCTTGCGTACGAATTTTGAGTGACGGGATAATATTTCGGGAGGAAAAAGGCGACGGGTGGTACACGGAGGAGGGTCTGGGCAAGAGGGAGGTTCCTCCTTGAACTGCTAACGCCACACATTCTCCCCTCTACCTTTGGCAAAGCAGCTAGCGAGATAGACGTGTTGCGATTTGCTCGAGCCTAAAGCCCCCGAGGTTTTAAGAGTCTCTGGAGTGGCGGGCAGGACTGACGTTGTCCCTGACGGCCGCGTCGAAGACCGGTGGGTACAGGGCCGTGACCATGTCGTCCACGTGGGCGCTGGACAGGGACGCCAAGGCGGCCAGCCGGTCGAGGTCCCCGTTCTCCTCGGGGGTGTGGCAGCGCCCCCTGGAGGACACCGCCGAGGACACCTTGCGCAGCGTCGTCCTGGCCGTCTTGACCAGGCCCAGCCCTGCGGGTGTGTACCGGTGGATGGAACCACGGCATTTCTACGCTCGCTTCCAGAACCCAGTGTCCGGCTCCTCGCAAAACTAATTTCCCCGAAGCAACGGTGAGGGTGCAGGCTAGCTGGTGTAAATTGAGCATAGTGGTAAACCCGAGATGGGGGATACGGACGAGGGACAAACGCAGAACGACACGGACGAAGTGTTTGTCCCTTGTCCGTATCCCCCCAGTCTCGGGTTAACAACTACGCTTAATTTCCCCCTCCGTGCATCGAATTAGGATATTGCATCTTAGATTAGCTTTATGCCATTTAATCGAGACGTTTCAAATGCCAAAAGCATTGTTTCTTCCCTTGACGACCCAATCTTGTAACAACTAGGAGGCACTCAAAAAGTCGCCACATTTTTGTTGTAAAAATTGAAATCCCGCCATAGACTGGTGTGCTGCCCCACTAAAGGAGGCTCTGCACGCCGGCCTAGTGGCCTGCTGGGAAATGTCACTCGCACTTCGAATGCGGATAGCGGAGGATTCCAGTACGCACTCCAAGCGTGGATAATTTTGGATTCTTATCTGCACTTCAAGTGCGTGTGGAGCGTGTCGGATGTTCCTAATCTGCACTCCGCGCGTGGTGTCGCAGGAAACTTTGATCACAGCAGTTTAGAAGTTCTCAGCTTTGTGTTGCGATACTGGCATGTTGGCAGCCTCGATTCTATGGAAATATTAGTGGTTCTGCTAATGAAGCAGAAAGCCGTGTTTCGCAAATAATAAAAAAATAAGATAAATTAGCATTGGGTGGTGCATCTGGGCGCAAATTAAATGGTACTCGGGGATCTTGGAGAGCAGAACAGAGGCAATCAGTGGAAAGGAACGGGGCTTCAGCTTTTTCCAAAATTCAGCGTACCCTCCAACCGCAGCCTCCTCCGCACTGATAAAGCCTGGCAGATCGCCACGAGACGCCGCCGCTGGAAGTGAAAAGGTAGAGCGGCCGTGTAACAGGTGCCCCGCTGCGGCCAGACGCTGAAACACACTTCTTCCGAGCGATGGAATGTCTGCTCATGCTCCTCGAATTCCTCGCGCGTCCTCGCTACTGCAAAAGCTGTTTGCTCACTACCAGATTCCTCGAGAAATGCTCTGCGCTACCAGATCCTCGGGCTCTAAATCTGCGACTGGGCGCTCTATGGCACCATCGTCGAACTACCAGGCTTTGTGAGTATAGAGGAGGCTATGCTCCAACATAACTAGGCATTTTGGAACAAGTATTACTTTCTATAGGCCCCCTCTCTCTTCCCCTCCTCTCCTCTCTCCCCTCCCTCTCTTGTGAGCACGTGAGCTCACGAGCATGTGCACCCGATGGCGGACGGACAAGAATAGACTCTCAGCAGCTTTGCCCCTAAACCAGTGCCTTGTGGCTCCTAGAGGACCATGCACCTGGAGCCAAAAGCTGGCGGTCGTGCAGGGACCAGGTCGACTGACGGGGCTGGTGGAACCCATTCCGCACTGGGACTGGCTGCTCCACTGGCGCTTCTTCTTCTTCCGCCCGCATCGTCTGCAACACAGCCAAAAAGAATGGCCCTTCTGCCACCTTCTTTTAAATGTATAGTTAACATTTAAACGCAGTAGAGCACTGCACGGCCTTTCCACAACTCTATCTCGGGCTGCACCTGGATAAGGGGGCATGGAAAACCAGGTTTCAACAATGGATTCTGACGTGATTTTGAGCCGCAAGTATGTCGCGTGAAACTGCCATATACAGGGTGTTTCATTTTAATTTGAACAAAATTTGAAAAAAAAAAAGGGGGCTGAGAGACAAGTGCAGTCTTCAGCATGTAATTATGAGGCTTGGCGGACATTGGGTGAGGGGACAATTGTCGTGGGAACTTCACTAATTCACAGAAATTCATCGATTAACTTTTTAGTTACTGGTTTTCGGTGTTGTGTTGCAACTGCAGTATTGACGGCAATTACTACTAGATGCCAGACCACTTGAAAGAATTTGCGAAAATGTAATAGTTTTTTAGACATTCATCTACCATTTTTTAGGTCTATTTATATATTGCAGGCAAAAAGAGTGCCGCAAACCTTGCCCACAGTGGGGCTTGGAAGAGTGACATATAATAGTTTCAATCGTGTCGTCATTGTCTCGGCAGCGTTCCTTGGCGGATGCACCAACGACACAAATGACGAAGCGACTAAAATGACTACATCACTCTTCTAAACATCCTCGTGAGCGGGGCTTGCGGCACTCTTTTTGCGCTATATCCATTAAGGGGGGACACTACCTTGAATTGCACCTTTTTTAAAAAAAATGCATATTTAGAACTTTCGAATTTTTGGCATGTATGGATGACAAAGAACACTCTCACGAAGTCTTGTCAATGTGCACTGACAAACATATGTCAAAAATAATTGTTCTTTATATGTTGGTGAGGTGTGCTGCACTGCGTAGCACTCGTCATCCACAAGTGAAAATAGCTGAAAGCAATGTCAGTATATCAGAAGTTTGAGGAAAACATCACCTACACCGCTGGAAAGAATTTCTGACATTTAAGACGCAAAAATTAATTTTTAAAACGTCATCATGAAACTTCAAGTGCATTTATCTCAGCTTCACTTTTTAGTGTCAAATACCAGTTCAGGGAAGCTATCATTTCATAATCTAATTATGCGTGCAGATATATTTTGGTTTTTCTATATTGAAATTTTCTGGAGAACACGACTGTGAACTTACTTTCTGCATTTTTATGCTCCTTTGTTATGAAAAGTTTATATTTCTTTTAATCAAATGTACACCCAAAAAAAAATTTTTTTCCATATTTTTTTTTTGTGATTAAATTTTATAATTTTTGAAATTTCTTTTCATAGTCGTCTGAAGCAAGTATTTTGCTGTATGTTCCAGCAAAAAAACTGGCCATTTTCATTACCCTTTCTAAACGATAGCTTTCCTCAGCAGATACACTTTTTTATTATGAACTTTTATGTAACTCATCGTGGGATAAATTTATAGGGCTGAAAATTTCCATGGCATCCTTGTCCAGTGCTATGAGTACACCCTGCAAATTTCATGCAAATAAGACACACGGTTCAAAAGTTAGCCTTCCGGAGTAGTGTTCCCCTTTAAATTGGGAGGAAAAAAAATGTGAAAACTAATCAATTAATATTTCACAAGCTATAAAACATTTTCAAATTTTGTCAGCTGGTTTGGCCTCTAGTCAACACTGCAATTATAAGGTGACCCCTAAAACCAATAATGAAAAAGTTAATCGATGAATCTTGGTTCATTCGTAAAATTGCCACGACAATTCTCCCCTCATTTCGTGTCGGCTGAGCCCGATAAATGGTGAAGATGGAACTTGCCTAATTATCACCCTCTTTTCTTCACAGTGATAGCTGTTATGGTCTCTTCCCATCACTGCAAATGACCCTCATTGTTTATGTTGCTCATATTTAGGGTTCCGCGTTTTCGGTTTCTATTTTTTCAAAATTCGGCATACTTTTTTCGGTGTTTATTTTAAAGTTCAATTTTTGTTTTTTTTCGGCGTATATTTATGCCCATAAAAGTTTATCGGCTTTTTTCGGTGAATATAAAATAAACACGAACGGACACCGGACCCGATGATACTTGTGGCTCTGATATTTGTGATCACTCAAAAAATAACGGCACAGATATGTTGCAAAAGAAATGGACACTATATTTGGCAAATGTGTGCAGCTGTAAAAGGAAGAAAGAAACACAGAAGTACAAACAAGACAGACATTAAACCTATGCCTAAAAAATATAGAACTTCACCTTCTTTACATCGGGATTACCCAGGATCTTATTCTAGTACACACACATTTACTTTCCCAGGTTCTCCTTGTTGATCCGCACTTTCTTTCCTGTTAATATGACCCTGAGCTTCGAGAATGCCTTCTCAACGCTACCACTGGACACTGACAGGCTGACGAGATGAAGCGCTGCCCGAGCCAAAATCGGCCAAATAACCAATTGTGACCGCCAAAAGAGACATGGTGCAACATTTTGTAGCACAACAGAACATGCAGAGCTTGCATGAAATCAGTCTTCCTTACAACGAGTTTGAAAACACGCTCGTATATGGCGAAGTCATGGGGCATTTCGGACGTCACATTCCGATCGATGATGCGCACATTAAAGCAAAATGTCGTGATGGCACATATCCCATACATTCGGAGACGTTTCCATAGACACTGTCGTTCCACTTTTTCGCCACGGCTCTGCGGTACGACTGGAAGGTCAAAGTCACGTTTTCCGGTTACAAGTGAATTTTAGAAAATGAATTCGATGTACTTTTATCGGTTTAAATTGAAAATGCCGAACCTAAAAACCAGAGGTCGGCATTTTAGGTCGCCCTCACTCACCCTCACCCTCACAGCCACACTTACCTAAGCCCCTCACTCACCCTCACAGCTACACTCACCTTCAGCCCCTCACTCACCCTCACTCTCACAGTCACACTCACCTTCAGCCCTTCACTCACCCTCACTGAACCTCACGGCCCTCACGCACTCACCGCCCTCACGGCCCTCACGCCCCTCACGGCCCTCACGGCCCTCACGCCCCTCACGCCCCTCACTCACTCATGGCCCTCACGCCACTCACCGCCCTCACGGCCCTCACCGCCCTCACGTCCCTCACCGCCCTCGCGGCCCTCATGGCCCTCATGGCCCTCATCGCCCTCACGGCCCTCACGCACTCATAGCCCTAAAGCCACTCACCGCCCTCACGGCCCTCACCGCCCTCACGGCCCTCACGCCACTCACCGCCCTCACGCCACTCACCGCCCTCACGTCACTCACCGCCCTCACGCGCCTCACCGCCCTTGCGGCCCTCACACCCCTCAAGCCCCTCACGCACTGATGGCCCTCACGCCACTCAGGCCAGCTTCAGATGGGGCAATTTCGCCCAGAAACTTTACGTCGCAACACCAGCAACACGGGCCGCCCGCGATCACACGCAGCAACGAATTGCTGCAATTTGCCATCGTCAACATAAAATTTTATTTTTCTTGCACTATTTGGACACAATTACGCGTTATAAACGTGTTTTTATGCATTTAAATCTCGTTAAGAATACTAATGCACTTTTCTGAAACAGTTTATTTCCAAAAAAACGATCGATTTCAAACCAGAACCAAGTCTTTCGGTGTCATCATCACCGGCACGAGGTATCACGTGAAAATTTTGCGTCCCTGATTGGATGCAGCCGCTTCAAACGCATTCGAATTGCTCCGAGTTGCATGGGCCTCACGGCCCTCACGGCCCTCACGGCCCTCACGGCCCTCACGGCCCTCACGGCCCTCACTCACCCTCACACTCATGAATTTTCCTGGTTCAGAAACTCACTCACCCTCACCTCACCTGTGAAGATGAGGGTGAGTGAGGGTGAGTGAGGGCCCTCATGAGTGAGGTTTGCCGAGGTATGCTAAAAACTGACCTTTTTCGGTTAAAACCGAATTTCCGAAAATGAATTCGGCGTAGTTTTATCGGTTTTTATCGGTTTAAACCGAAAACTCTGAACCCTACTCATATTGTAGTTGGCATAGTAGGGCGTCTGTCGTCGATGTTGTCAAATCCTCGAAAAATATCGCCCACGGCAATGGAACCTGGGTCCGCTGCGTGCGAAGCGGAGGCATTACCACGGAGCTACGCTACAGCATTAACCCGCTCTATTCTTAGGGTTTTTGTAGTGCCCACTGCACGCGCACTCTGGAAGAAGGTAGCCGAGAATAACATGTTGTGGTAGCACTGTCAATGCCAAGTGTGGGTAGCCGCGCTTGCGAGCTCTCCGGAACAAAACGGTCAGATGTCTATTTTGCTCCGAATGCCTTTGTTCACGCATCCCACGGTGTGTGAACGTGACGCCAAAGCCCAACAACTCCGCCGTGACGTTTTGCAATGTGGATTAATGCGGGACTGCTAAATTCTTTTAAGAAATCTCTTTTTGAATTAAAATAAACACTCCGTATGGGAGTGTTCGGCTGGTCCAGGGGGCACGCTGGAGCGATACCAGTGGCGCAAATTCGCCCTAATGCGGCGCTCGCTCATCCCGTCGCACTGCCAGTTGCAATGGCGAGCACCACTTTTCAATGATACCATCGCGGCTTTCTCTCTGTTGAGAAACGGTGATTATTTCTTAGAGAGGCGGACCTCCGCAAAAAAGGTTGCCCGTGTGCCAGGTCTCCGGGGTGAAAGAGATAATCGAGAAATCAAAAATTTGTCTACAGCGAAGTGCGTCTTGCACTTCACTGTCGATTATCTGCCTCCTTTGACCTCTTATGTCTTTGGCCGCTTACCCACTTTGTCTCGTAAACATCGGGGAACGAAATTGGCAGATAAGTTAAGTGAGCTTGGTTCTCAAATTTAAAGTTGCTTAAAAATGGTAACTGCATAATCGGGTTTCTTTTTGCCGACAGCCGTGGGGAACCATCAACGCTATTACATTAGAAACTCATTGGGGAGCGTGAGCGGCAGATTGAAGGTCCTGCGGGCGCGAGCTCGGCCTGCCCTTAAAGTGACGGCACGAGCTCCCCCAAGCAATGCTAAACTCTCGCGTGCAATCTACGAAAAGTCCCTTATAACGTGAGAAATAAGCGTGGTTGCACTGCTGAGTTGTGCAACAAGATTGGCAAACAATAATTAACCCCGTCCTCTGCGCAGCCCCAATTCCTACCTCTGCCTATCTTTCTGCAATCGCTACTCACGAAATGAATAAATCTTTTTGGGAAACGGATATGTTCCTTTCTGCTTAATACGATGCTGTGGCATTTGACTAGACAACAACACCTGCTGCCCCGCCCTTCTGCCTTTGGTACATTACTTTTCGAAGCGCGAGGCCAGCGTGACAAGCGCACCAGCCTCCCGCGTCGTCCGCTCCGCATACACCTCACTAGTACAGCCGTGCCTCACCAGCGGGAGGGGTGGTGCTGCGTAACTTCAACCACACAGCCCTTTACCAAAACATATACCACGGAAGCGTCCACTTCGTACCCAAGTGCCCACTATTAACATTTCCCACATTTGGGAATTCTGGGAATTGTACGAGCAACCAGCCCTTCCAAAGGACTGTCATCATCCGAAAATATTCACCCCGATGACGGGGATACCACGTGAAAATATACGCCTTTTGTCCGATTCCATTCACCCTGCCTTCGAAGCTGTTTATTGGCGGCCATCTTTGTTTTTACCGATTTGACCGCACAAGCGCCCATGTCTAGATTAACCCAGTTTTCAGTGGAAGTGGGTGTTTCCCCGGTATTTTACGGTAGATTTGGGTGAAAAATAAAAAGTTTATAAATTGGGAAGGCTATTCGCTGTATAAGATGTCCACCATGAAATCCCGTACAAGGGCCCACTCAAAATTTGGACGTAATCGTGACAAACTGGGGGGGGGGGGGGGGGGGGACGCTTCTCAGGTCAAGAATATGTAAAGATATGCCTTCTGTGTATCTTCTGAAGGTTACAAAATTGAGAGTTGGGCGCTCATTGTGGAATGGGCGATGCTCGGTATTTTACGGATGTGTGGAAATATTAAAATAAGTATCTATCGAAAGATAACCTTTTCCAGATATGATACGCGACAACAAATAGAAAGAAGTACCTGGTCCAGTTCCTCAGCAGCGTCCTGTACAATTCCGTACTGGCCATTGAGAATTGAAGTCACGGCTTGCTTGTTATCTGAGGGTGGTAAAGAAAAAACACTTTTTTTTTTTCAACGAATGCGACGAGTTTGCAGTCATTCAAACAAATTATTATCGACGATTACTGGCAAAGGCAACAAATCGAGGTTGTTTGGACACACTTCTTCAGTAGCGAAATATTCTACCTGGAGGCATGCATTAGGCTTTCCAGAGTACAACACAACATTTCCCTTCCCCCCCTAAAGGTACAGGGGCCAGGGTTTCTTGGGGTTACGTCGACGGAAGGAGTACTCGGCCGCCTCTGTTCTACCCCAAGGAAGCGAACCGTAAGGCAACAGACGGGCAACACGGGAAGGCAGGGAGGGCCAGGCACCTCTGGAAAGCCGCTGGATGGCGTCGCACTTCTCCCAGCAGGTGCCCACTGGCTGGAGGCCGGCTGAACTGGAAAAGACGGGCTCACTCTACTCTCAGCACTCCCTCACCAACGTCCGTCTGTCGGCCAGTGTCGCTGACCAGGTGGCAATAGAAAAGCTTCACTTTCAATTAGGTGTTTCTATTAAATTTAAATCCAAAATTTTTTTTTTTCTTTATTTCAGTCTGCTTAGACAATACATTTTGTCTGCAGTACCAAGGCAAAAGACCAGAAGGTCTGACGAGTCCTTGGTACCGCCACATAAATGAAATATTAAAAAGGCAATGACACTCGTCGACAGCAAAGCACACTAAAACAGAAGCGCTCTTAAATAAAATGTTACGAATAACAAAATATACGTATCAATGACATATAGATAGTACACATTTTTGATACTATAAAACTATACTATAATACCATAACACAAAAAAAACCTACACAAAAAACAAAACAACAACAACAACAGAGATAGCAAAGAGGATAAAAACAGATATTTCAGATCAGTTTGCGACATTTGCGGGCAAGAGGGTTTCTTTCACTATGCTTTTGTATGTGTTTAGCGATATATTTGACGTAATAAGTGTATGAAGATAACTGTGTGTAGTAAGGAAGTTTGGAATTTGAAATGAGAGCGTTTGTCTGCCCATGTCTGTCCTGATTTGGGGGAGTATATACTTGTCATTTCGAGTGTTGTAATGGTGGTCGGGTCTAGTGCATGCAGATGGATAGCTAGGTTGTTGAAGTCTATCGTCATGGAATATGTAGAGTGCAAGTTTATAAATGTAGAGATGTTCAAAGCTCAAAATTTTATACTTCTCAAAAAGCGGAGCTGTATGTGCATCATAAGCAGAATTTTGCATTAGACGAACAGCTTTTTTTTTTTGTAATAAATGCAGATGCGCGATATTTGTTTTTGTCGTCTGACCCCAGACAAGAAAGCAGTAGTAAACCTTGGTATATATCAGCCCATAATACAGTTGATACTTTAGCCATTCCGGTAAAAGATGCTTTGCAGATGGAATTTAGCTGCTTTGGGAGTGCTAGCTCCCAATCAAGCTTTGTTTGACAATTTTAACTCTACACTTAGCTACTTAACCCCCCTCAACCCCCACTCCCCATGGTCCCTAATCATAGGGGCAGAGGCTGAGGGGGGAGCGGCACTGTGCAGGGCTGTCTAGGCCGGCAAAATGCTAAGTCCGCCTCTGATGCTAGGTACTGTTACCAGGGGAAAATATATTCCAAGCTTTTACAATACATTTCTTCTTCATTGGGCTCTTTTCTGTGTAAGCTTCCACTATGTGAGCAGTGCGCGCAGTGCACGAGTCTCATCGCCATCTCGACGTGCAAGGCCAGGTACCTTGCCCACTGTCTTCGGAAAGGACAGTGCCCACCGGACATTGCTTCCTTGTTTGGTGCATTGGGTTCGTCTATAGGGCATTGGAAGAGAATTTGCAAGATCCTCAAGTCGGAGTGTTGGCGGCAAGTTAGCGTTTGTCCTGTGTGCTTTTTCGTCTTTTTGTCCCGTCTCTTTTGCGCTATTTTTAATATGAATGTCCATTACCAACTTGCCCAGCAGACCAAGCTTTTACAATACATTTCTTCTTCATTGGGCTCTTTTCTGTGTAAGCTTCCACTATGTGAGCAGTGCGCGCAGTGCACGAGTCTCATCGCCATCTCGACGTGCAAGGCCAGGTACCTTGCCCACTGTCTTCGGAAAGGACAGTGCCCACCGGACATTGCTTCCTTGTTTGGTGCATTGGGTTCGTCTATAGGGCATTGGAAGAGAATTTGCAAGATCCTCAAGTCGGAGTGTTGGCGGCAAGTTAGCGTTTGTCCTGTGTGCTTCTTCGTCTTTTTGTCCCGTCTCTTTTGCGCTATTTTTAATATGAATGTCCATTACCAACTTGCCCAGCAGACCAAGCTTTTACAATACATTTCTTCTTCATTGGGCTCTTTTCTGTGTAAGCTTCCACTATGTGAGCAGTGCGCGCAGTGCACGAGTCTCATCGCCATCTCGACGTGCAAGGCCAGGTACCTTGCCCACTGTCTTCGGAAAGGACAGTGCCCACCGGACATTGCTTCCTTGTTTGGTGCATTGGGTTCGTCTATAGGGCATTGGAAGAGAATTTGCAAGATCCTCAAGTCGGAGTGTTGGCGGCAAGTTAGCGTTTGTCCTGTGTGCTTCTTCGTCTTTTTGTCCCGTCTCTTTTGCGCTATTTTTAATATGAATGTCCATTACCAACTTGCCCAGCAGACCAAGCTTTTACAATACATTTCTTCTTCATTGGGCTCTTTTCTGTGTAAGCTTCCACTATGTGAGCAGTGCGCGCAGTGCACGAGTCTCATCGCCATCTCGACGTGCAAGGCCAGGTACCTTGCCCACTGTCTTCGGAAAGGACAGTGCCCACCGGACATTGCTTCCTTGTTTGGTGCATTGGGTTCGTCTATAGGGCATTGGAAGAGAATTTGCAAGATCCTCAAGTCGGAGTGTTGGCGGCAAGTTAGCGTTTGTCCTGTGTGCTTCTTCGTCTTTTTGTCCCGTCTCTTTTGCGCTATTTTTAATATGAATGTCCATTACCAACTTGCCCAGCAGACCAAGCTTTTACAATACATTTCTTCTTCATTGGGCTCTTTTCTGTGTAAGCTTCCACTATGTGAGCAGTGCGCGCAGTGCACGAGTCTCATCGCCATCTCGACGTGCAAGGCCAGGTACCTTGCCCACTGTCTTCGGAAAGGACAGTGCCCACCGGACATTGCTTCCTTGTTTGGTGCATTGGGTTCGTCTATAGGGCATTGGAAGAGAATTTGCAAGATCCTCAAGTCGGAGTGTTGGCGGCAAGTTAGCGTTTGTCCTGTGTGCTTCTTCGTCTTTTTGTCCCGTCTCTTTTGCGCTATTTTTAATATGAACGGTAAAAGATGCTTTGCAGATGGAATTTAGCTGCTTTGGGAGTGCTAGCTCCCAATCAAGCTTTGTTTGACAATTTTAACTCTACAACCCCCACTCCCCATGGTCCCTAATCATAGGGGCAGAGGCTGAGGGGGGAGCGGCACTGTTCAGGGCTGTCCAGGCCGGCAAGTTCGCCTCTGATGCTAGGTATTGTTACCAGGGGAAAATATATTCCAAGGATCTTTTTTTCGGGACATTATTCGAGCCGCGAAATTCGAGGAAACCGTCTTTGCAAACACAAGTCTTTTACAGTAATCATTGATTTATTGTAAAAGCAAAGGCTAAAGCAGTGGTTCTTAAGCATGGATATGTCTGGGACCCCTTGGGGACCCGCCAAAGTGATGGGGCATCCAATGCCAGCAGGGGAATGGTTGAGGGGGGATATAAAGTAAGACAACTAATTGCAGTGTAAAAAGGGCATACTTACAAACGGAAGTGAGAAGCATAAAGTAAAAAGACAAAGGGATGTCATAGAAGGTAACGGCTGTACCCTTCAGCACAGGCGGTAGCTAGCGCCACCCAGCGCCCCCCTTCCCTTTTTTCTTTCAGATTTTTCTTTAAAATTGAGCGTTGAGGCGAGGGCTTGGCAGACTCCTAAAATAACTTTGTGGACCCCGGTGGCCCCGCGGAACCCCATCTGAGAACCACTGGGCTAAAGAAGAGCTCGGTCTTTGAAGTGGACAACCGCGCCTGCCCATCCCCGTGGCCCCACGGTTAGCACAAGTAGGGCCGCGCAGTCTACTTGCCCCGTCCGTCGGAAGCCTTTTACCTGCTGGCACCAACGGCACTGAGCATGCCCTGGACTGCACGCAGCACCTCCCAGACGAACCCGGACACTTCTCCCCGCAGAGTCAGCCCTGCAAGAGAGGTGCGCGGGTGTTCCATGGTGCCCAGTCGAGCTCCTAGGCACAGACACCAGGCAGAGCTGTACTGCGAGATACCCCATTTTAACTGCCGTGCATCACGGTAGTACCATTAAGAAATTACTTTTGGAGGTAACATAATCACTGCTCCCATAAGATAAGACACAGTTTCTGCGTTCGCTACGAGTTCGGTCAGGACTGTACACTCGCTACTCTTTTCGAATAGCAATGTTCGAAACCAGTGAGAGCCAACCCGACAGGGTGCATCGCCATATTATGTCCCCCTGACAGCATAACTCACCTGCACAGACTGCATTAGTGTAGTTTTTACGGTTTTTTTACGACAGGTCCGTAAAGCCTACAAAAGGACCTTTAATGTAAAAGTAAAACTCTAAGTGAAAAATATTACGGAGCCCGATGTTTCAAGCGTACTTTACTTTACTTTACTCCAGAAAGAGGGTCACACGATCGGATTCAACAACAGCTCTATTCTTGGCACGGAAAGAAACTGGCGAAGAAGCCTTCTCTTAGAGCCTTGGTACACTAAAAACGCCGAAAATAACGTCAACCAGTCAGATGGGGCACTTCCAAGCGCCTACGTGTCTGGTCTGTGGTGCGTCACGAGGGACGCTACGAACCATAACACGTGCAGAAACAATGGCCGCTTTAAAGAAGCCAACAACACCGGGCAATTTGCAAGAAGACAACAAGGACGAAAACAGTCGCACGTGAACAAGGGGCCGGCCTTGAAACGTCGGGCTCCGTATTATTTTTTGGTTAGAGTTTTCCATTTACATTAATTGTCATTCCTAACCAGGAGAATGTCCACCAAAGTGCTTACTTTTAAAGAAAGACCTCGTATATATCCTCCAATTAGAGTATGTTCCTACGATCATAGGCATAGACTTCGGGGGGGCATCGAGGCTCATGCCCCCCCTGGTGAGATCCAGGGGAGGGGCACAGCCTGCTGTTTACGTGCCATGTAACGAGCTTCCAGTAGTGGCATGTGAACAAAATAACGCCCACGTTGCCTTTATTGACAAAATACATGGGAAATGGAATCCCAGCGTGCTTTCGTTGGCTTCAATCTCCAGTTCTGGCAAAAAGGTAACCCGCAACACCCCCCCCCCCTTCCCCTTCCCCTTCCCCCCCCCTCCCCCCCCCCCCCTCTCGGGAGACCTTCTCAGCCTACCCCTACCCCTACCCCTACCTTCCCTTCCCTTCCCCTTCCCCCCCCCTTCCCCCCCCCCTTCCCCCCCCCCCCCCCTCCCCCCCCCCCCCCCCCCCCCTGGGAAAATTGAAAGTCTATGCCACTGCCTAGGATGTCACAGTATTTTCTGCACAAAAAGCAGACAAACTAAACTTACATGCTGAATAACACTGCTTTTAAATCAAGCAGCAACAAAATAAAGACAACTAAATGTTGAAGCAGGCAATAAACCAGCTATAAAAGTATACTATGAACTGAAGGTATTATTCTCTTAGTTTTTTTGCCCGGCGTCCAAGTGTCTATGTCCAAGTGATATTACCATCCAACTCAGGATCCTCTGTTTTCTTCAAAAAGGTTTGAAGAAACTACAAAGGGAATGTTTTCTAAGGATTACAGATGCAAAGGCCGCAGTTTCTAATTTGGCGTGGGCTTCCCGAGAGCTTACCTCGGGACAAGGGCAGCTCGGAGAAGGCAGCGAGCAAGGCGAGGCACGCCTTCTCCAGGTCTGCAACCAAGCCAGTCTTTTCAACAGGTGTGGGCGCTGGCAGTTTGCTGAATGCCATGCTGAATTTGGTTGCCTCGTGTCGCAATGCCCGAGTGACCTTGGCTGAGAGAATGTTTTCTGTGAGGCACAGCACTGGCGTTCTGCACAATAGTGGACGACTGCCGGTTACTACAAAAGTGGCTGCGATAGTGGGAAGAATCTGCACTATCAGCTCGAGGATTTGGAAAAAACACTGAAAATCTGGTGACCATTCACTCAGTTTCTTACACCCGCACCAACGAAAACTCGACCGAAGGGAAGTGTAATTAGTTTATGCAGTGCAGGGCAGCCAAATAGGGGAAAACAATTTATCAATTAATTGCAGAAATGAAGCCGAGAGGGATGAGAAGCTTTTTTTGTTGCAACGGGACATAAGCGAGCAATTCCTCCCCCACACGCACCGCGAAAATTAAGCATCACCCATTTTGGTCAGCATCACTCAACTACCACAAAAAACCGGAGAAGCGCCCACTCAAAATTGAGAGATAATCAGGAAAAAATGGGGGACGGGCGCTTGTCCGGTCATCAATTTTACCTATCAATCTACCGTGCATGTTCTCTCAGATCTTAGAAATTTGGGAATGGGTGCCTAACGTGGAATGGGTGGATGAGCTGTATTCTCCTGGTACATCACTATCATCTGTCCAAAAATAATCTGATAAAAAATCTCTTTGCATCCACTGCACTCTTCAATATCAGACACCTGGGATTAACAATAAAAGCTACATCAAAGGACAAACTTGGAATAAAAGAGTAACTTGAACGAAGTTGTTGATCACTGGAGACGAACAGCCAGTGACTCTAGCTTGTCAGCGTATCAGATGTCGACTGTCATAGGGGTGGCTATATGGGACAGGCTTGGTGGGGAGGGCGGTTTGCAGAGAGACAACGTCAGAGTCAAAGCGTCGTCCAGATCTATTTTGTTGACCTAGTATATATAGTAAAAACTAAACATTTCTTCCTAAAAAAAATTAAAATATTGGGGTGTGGGTGTGTTTATACAGCCTGAACTTACTCTGCCTCAACTGGCACTTGTCTCCCAGCTGTAGATGAGCAATTTAGCCAGTGCGGTACAACCTCTAGCCTGGGGTCTTTAACGTGCATCACGCAGAAGTGATACACGACCGCACCCTGGTACGGTGCTCATCCAGATCGAAACGGGCAGGGGTGGGGATGGAACCCAGGATCTCTGGGTTCTGCAGCTCGAGCTTTTGCTCCACGCGTCCCGAGCTGGTGTGCGCTATTGCCCACTCGGCCACCGACCTTCTCGTTTTTTCCTAGAAGAGGCAAGTATGTCATGTTTTGCAATAGAAAAAAGTTTACCTTAACAAGCTAAGAGGGCTGGTCACACCCCGCCCCGCCCCCCCCCCCCCCCCCCCCCCCCCCCCCTCAAACCTGTCCATGGTTTGCCAACTCTTGTCCAAACAAAAGCATTTTCCTATCCCTCAGTTCTTAAAAAAAAATACTAAGCCTGGTAAAGAAAATATTTTTTTTTCTTCTACCTGATTAGGACTTGCACGTTTCAAAATAAATGCTCGTTGGAAAAAAAAACAAAAAAACACTGTACTCAATATTTATGTTACAATACAAATTTTTCGATTTGCGGAGAAACCGAAGTTGTAGCCCTGTGGAGTGATGATGGTAGCATTTCTATCCAGCTATGAATTCATTCAGCCCTAAGCCGAGACTGCAGTGGGAGCTAATTGTGCCCGCCGGACCAATGAGCCGCCTCCCTCTGCGCTGAGGCTGTGGCACCCTCCTTTTGGGTAGTACAAGCTCCCCAGACTGGGCCTCGCAATGCTCATTGCACCTTCGCTGAGCTTACCTTTCTGTGTACTGCTGAAGAACGGAAAAGTACCTCTCGACGTCTGAAATCGGCCAGAGTCAACGCCGCAAGACAATCCAAAGTGCCAGATTCATGCCACCAACGCTATACTCCAAGTCACTAGTTGTGTGCAGTGCATGCGAAGGCAATGCCAGGAAAAGAGAGAAAGGGCGAGCACTAGGAAGGTGGGAGGGCAGAAGAGTGAGAGAGAAAGAAAAGGGGAGAAAGGGAGAGCACTAGGAACATTAGAGAATAGAGGAGCTTTTTCTCCTCCTAGCCAGCTTTCTTAGTGCTACCTCTTTCTCCCCTCACCTGGCTTTGCCTTTGCCTGTACTGCATGCAACTAGTGACACGGAGTATAGGGTACGCCGCAAACGTCTCTCACCTCTGAGTGGTGACGTCGGAACATCTGGCATCCCGACGCATTCCTTTCTCTTTTTTTCTTTTTTACTTTTTAATGCGTGAAACAGCCGCCCTTGACTACCACTCTTAGCGTCTTGGCTTCGTCTGTGCTTCGATGGTGTTCAAATTTTCGTTGTTTCTTTGTATTTTCCTTGTGATCTCGCGTTCTGCACCAGAGCAGGCAAGCTTCTACATGTGTGGCAGTTTGAGACGCTCAAGTTTGTACTACCCAAAAGAAGACCTAGCAAGTCCCTTTTCGCAGCACCCCCTCGGCAACGCAGGAGGCCAATGGGTGCAGGAGTGATGACATGGCGAAAGAGAGGCCCATGATTGGTCCCCGGACGTAGCTTCCACCATAGTCTCAGCTTAGGGGTGATGAGGTCCAGCAAACTCAAGAGTGCACACTAGTTTAGTACAACACTATCATCATCATCACACAGAAGTACAATTTCGGTTTCATCCGCAAATTAAAAAAATTTATATTGTAACATAAATATTGGGTAAATTTTCTTTTTTTTTTTTTTTTTCGGCAAACATTTATTTTGGGACATGCCTGTCCTAACCAAGTAGAAAAAAAAATCTCCCCTTCCTAGGTTTAGTGTCTTTTTAAACGGATCAAGAAAATTGAATTTCACCTTTGCAAACTAATATTCAAAATAACCTCATTCGTAAAGCTTAAAACAAGTTTCAGTTTTGCAATAGCCAAGTTTTTGAGAAAAAAAACAAAACAAACACATACAATGTTTTTTTGTTTTTTTTTCCTTAACATTTTGAAGATGATGGTGAGATGCATACAATGCCTGGAAAGCTCCATATTGGAACTAAGAGAAGGACAGTCTCAGACTGTGCACAGTTTAGGAGTGTATCTGAAGAATTATTCCAGTCAGTTTAATTTTATACGTTCTCTGGTGTGTAGCTGTTGTGTATAGAGTATGCTGTGTATGTGTGCGCAATCTGTCGCGTGCTGTTTTCAATGTTAGTGTTTTCCTGTTTTTGCAGGGAACTTTTTCTTTTGTCTGTCCCCCCCTCAAGTAATGCCTCCGGGCGCTTTGAGGGAAAAAATAAATGAAATAAATAAATGAAACTAGACGAGTGTTGCTCTCAATCAAGCTTCTCCTCTCTGCCAGCAACAGAGGAAAACAATATACAAAACATTATAGATAATCAACTTAGCTTCACAGAGGGTGAAACAAAAGATATACCGCAGCAGCGACATAAGCTTCGAAATTGCAAAACAGCAAAAACAGGAAACCCCGGAATAGAATCCAATATGGGAATTACACGTGGCAGAAAAGGATCCTTCAGTTCGCTGCTACCAGCTTCTGTTTCAGTCTATGTAGGGCCAAAGGCTTTCAACCGAGCTTCAAGAGATATAGCTGGCATGTTCAGTCGAGATGCTAAGTTTTCAATTTATCTATTACAGATAAGAGTACGCACACGCAAGAAACGGTGCACAGTGAATTAAATCAACTAAGATTAATAAGAATAATGCAGGAATAATTGAGATGAAGTGTGAAGGTGGATATAATTATCTAGGTAATGTTTATGTTTAATGTTTATTTAAGGCATCGAATGTGATTGGACTGTAGCATCCTATTCCAAACCTATGAATGTGATAAGCTGACTGATAAGGGGATTGAACCATCATAATCTGATGGAAGAACGGATAGTGATCGTGAAGTTTGCTGAATAAGCAGAGGCCAGAGAATTTTACTAGAACAATAAATTTGTGAGAATGTTAAATTTACCCATTTTGGTCCAGAACTCTTCCAGGTTGAAGTTGTCAACATCTTTGCACGGAGTTTCCTTGTCTGCAAAAGATGCAGCATATAACTGTGGAGCCAGATCTTTAGTAATTGATATGTGTAGTTTAACAAAGATTATGCGGAACGGAAGTTTGTCTGCTTCCTTTGCAGGGTTGACGTCAGAGTGCCGAGCTTTTATTGAAGGATAATGGGTAGACCTCAAGGCAGCTTGCTTCGAGGTATTGGGCAGGAGATAGAACTATAGGGGGCGCTCTGACCCGTTTGTTTTCCCCACGCTCGGTGTTTACTCAACACAAGGCCTGTGCATGTACCGACAGGCCTTATGGGCATGTCCATGTCATCTTCTACAATAGAGCGCGGGGCACAGTTTAATGTAAAAAATACTAACAATCGACGAAGCGGCGTTAAGTGCCGGATCTATCCTCAGAGAATGCGAGCTTGACGGGACCGTGCATGCTGCATTGTTCATGCGGGCCGTGGTGGAAACAAAACAGCCCCTCCTCCCCCTCGCCGGAGAACACGAACTCCAGCCGAACGCTGACGCCGCGTTCGGTTATGTCGGCCCAGCGCCGAGTCATTGTATTTGTTGTCCCCATCCGCGTAGTTGTAAAGTTAAGCGCTTGGGGCGTCACGGTCTGTCCTCCTCCCCAATACCCGGTCTACCCGCTATCCTTCCATCAGAGCCAATCAGGTCTTGGCATCGTTCTGACGTCACCGGAACCGCTGTGCCAGAAGCAGACGACTTGCTCTCCGCACACCTATATACAGCAGTCCCCTATTTCAAAGCACTTTTTCTAAAATGCCCCTTGTGCATTCCTAAAATGCCACTTTCTTATGCGAGACACAAGAGCCCTCCGAGCAATGCGTATGGATGCCCCGTATTCTAGTACACTGTAGCACGGCGGCACGGTCGAATCGTTAGCTCCCATGGACCGGTTTTGACGAGAACAGATTGACATACAAACTTCACATCTTCAAATACCCAATGTGAGTACATTTAAACCGGATGTTTAACAAAACATAATAAGGGTTACCTTTAAGTTGGTCGCACACACTTTGTAAAGAACTGCGTAAAATGTCGATCGGGTCACGAACGTCGCTGCCCGCAGCCATTACTGGATTGGACTACATTGGATTGGATTGGATTTCTCACTGGGATTTCTCGTCACTAGACCGAAACGCCGGCCACCTAGCAACCAGAAACTCCAGAAACACATTAAAAAAAAAGAAGACAAAAAACAATTTTACAAGTCACGAGTCGCAGTTTTAGTGATTTTTTTATTTACAATTTTATAAATTTTGGTCGATTCGATTTTTTATAATTGTTGGCTACGATTGGCTAACCCTTTAGGATCAGAGCCGTATGTTTAGGATCTAATCGATCTAGTGGTTAATTTTGCCGTTTTATTTCGGTCCTGCTCAAGCGCTCAAGCAGCTCAAGCAGCTCAAGTGCTCGCAGAACTCAGCGGTACGCTCAGTACGGCAAGTACGGCGCCTGCAACTACGCAGCAGCTTTTTGTTCTAACAGCCTGGCCGATCCGTGCAGTCACGCACGTCTTCAGAGATGTCTCTCGAGCAGACCGCCTGCGAAGGTGAGGCGCGTAGCGCTGCCGCTCTGACAAAGCCATTTCGCTCTCTCCTCCCTCCATTTGCCCCTCGTCTGCTTTTCCGATTGGAAGAAGCATGAGCCGAGTGTTTCTGTGCAGACCTGAAGGCCTTCGAGCGGCGTCTGACCGAAGTGATCGGGTACCTGAATCCCCAGACGAAGCGCTGGAGAAGTGAGTGCCCCCCGAGTGCCACCGATCCCCAACTTACGATGCCGTTTTGTCGCAGTCATCCTGTTCCTGAGCTCCATCTGCACAGCCATCGGCGCCTGGCAGTGGCTCATGGACCCCATCACCTCGCAGGTATCGCTCGGCGCCTCTGTTGCTATGTGCGCAGGGGGACGAGCTCATGGGCACGTAAAGCTCTTTCCAACTGAGCAGAGTGAACGCTGGAGTGGACTTGGCCCCGCCGCCTCTCCAGAGTTCACTCTGCTAAAGGGGAAAGAGGGCTTTGTGCGAGGAGCGTGGCCCACAAAGTGTGCAGCGAAGATGACCCTTGGTCCAATCGCAGGCGACCTTCATGCAGTCGCTGATGAACCACATGTTCTTCACCATCAGCAGCATCATCCTCGTCATTCTATTCTTGATGGGAATCCATAAAAGAGTCATCACACCTTCCATGTATCCTTTTTGACGCCACCGCTTCCACAGCTATACCAGATTGCCCGCAACGTCTGTTTGTTCTCGGTGGTCGTGATGCCGCCCTTCGTTTCATCCAGCCAACTGGGAAAGAGGGAGAAAGACTAAAGCGAGAAAATGTTAATGCATGGGTATGTTGCTTCCAACTCAACACTTGCTCAAAAACCAGCAAAAAAAACCTTGCATGTTTCTGTGCTTTGAAAAGTGCTCTCTTTCAACCTCGCTAAACTAGATATTAGGACATTGAGCTGTGGCAATGACCGAATGTAAACCACCATGAACTACTGAGGATTATGTGCCGCCTGCCACAACGATAGCGAGACACTGGAGCACTTGGTTTTGAAGTGCACGGAGCTTCGTCCTGCCCTCCCTGAAAGGGTAACGGATCTGGCCGGGGCCCTGGGTTTCACTGGCGACGATGGAAGGATGGTAGAGAAAAAGATTACAGTGACAAAGAGACGATTAGAAGATTGGTGGAAATTATCTAGGGAAAATTAAATGATGGACAACTAACTATACTTCGTTTCAGCTTCGGTCCGAGCGCGGCTGATGTAATGAGCCGAAGGGCCAATCAAACGGCGAAAGAGGCACAACATCATGGCGTGCTCTCTGCAGTTGATAGAACCAGCCGGTATTCGCCGTCTCTCTGTGCGTGCTCCTCCGCCGGCTAGTCTTATCACGCGCAGAGAGCACGCCATGACGCTGTGCTTTTTGCGGTGTTTGATTGGCCCTTCGGCCCATAACATTGGCCGCGCTCGGACCGAAGCTGAAACGAAGTATAGCACAGCTGGGAACAGGCGGGACAGAGGAAAATTGGGACTCCCTCCCGCATGGCTCCGGCCCAAAGTCTCAACCCTGTCTCCCAGTGGGTCCGGTGCTGGGGTAACGCCGAAAAGGTTTGACCAGAGGAAAATTGGCGACTCCCTCGCCGGGGGGAAGAGGCAGGGGGTGATGTTTTTTAGCTTTTTGCCCAATCCCCCGAAGGTCATCCTGGTGATATCCCACACTGCCTGGTGATAGTTAGGGGGAGAAAAATTGGTCTTAAAAGGGCGGGAGGAATCACGTTTTTGTCTTTTTAGACTTAGGCTAGGTGGCGCAAGCTACCGCCCGTTACAAAGGGAATAGCCATTAACATCCATCCATCCATGCATGGATCTTCTCCTAATAATGTGAGAGTGATGCAAGGTGCTGGATGATCATTTACGTGAGGGCTGATGTATGACCAGATGATGGGAAACCCTCCCTTCCATAGACCTTTTGCAAAGTGTGCGGTGCTGTCCACAGCGCCAAAAGGAATGCCAGGTGCTCACTGTACAGAAGTGACTGTAGCAGACGACGGAGGATGTGCAGGCGAGCAACCCCTCTCTCTCGCACTCTTCAGTGTGAACAGGGTGCTCCCGTAATTCATAATTGGGGCCTTTGCAAAAGGTCTACTTTCATTTACAGAAGAGAGAAGGTCATTTCTGGGGGGAGTAGCTCCAGGACTTGAGGCGTAAGAAGTGGGTGCGTCAGCCTTAACCACGCTGCTTACAGCATTGTGTCAAGGGTGCGGAATGTGTTGTCAGATTTCAACATGTCGTGCGATGATGTAAGTCTCTTCCACTCTCTCTTTCTTCTGCATTTTCAGCTTGAAATGTTTCTCTGCTCTTTGGAATGTCCCCCAGAGTGCACACAAAACCACAGACTGTGCAGTTGCAATGTCTTGCAAGCGGGAACATCGAATCTTGGGAGGGCCAATCAATTCTTATGTGTAGCGCGATTCCAGGTCGCACAGCACCAAACTTGCTTCGAGTGTTATCTGTAGGAAGAATCACTTGGGTTACTCTTGTTAAGTGAGCGATTAATATTTGCCCATAGAAAAAGCTTGAAGAGTTGCTCTTTCTCAACAAAGTTTCCTTATCCACATTCTGATCAAAACGGAGCTGAGTGCGAGAGAATGGGCTGATACGAGCACTGTCCTACTAGCAAAGTTTCTGAAAGTGGCTCGGCTGGTTCACCCTTACAGTGTCTAAAAACTGGGACCCTTCCCAAACAACGCTAAAGTGCACCACTAGTCCTCGTGTGTGAGCAGTCAGACATTGTTGATGCGAGAACGTCTTGGGCTACAACAAAATCCATGGAACTGACGTGATGTAAATGTACATTGGGAGTGTTATGTCTTCTCCTGCAAGCATAAATAAGAGTAATGTGGCGTATGCACATTAGTGGGTTGCCTTGCCATTTCATTTCACATTTTTGTTGCATGCCCACGCTTACCATTTGTGAACCAATTTGGAATTCTAATGCCTCTTCAGATTGCATGCGGTTAAACGAAGCTACGCAAATATTTCAAAGGATGCTGAGGTTTCTTTGTGCCAGTCAATATTCTTATGCCACTGAGACAAAGCCTATGCGGGAGCGTTTGCCTTCCAGATGCGTATAGACGACGCAAGGCAGCTATCCCACGCATTTTACTTAAAGATGTCCAGACGGACCAGATGACTAAGAGATTTTGATGCAACATCTGCGGAGCGTACACAAGTACTCGTGTGGTGACACCTTGCGTCGTCCTGCAGAGCGGCCGGCTGATCTTGCGACCCAGGCCCACGACGTCATGATGAAAAGACGCGTCTGTCCGCAACGGGACAGAGCTCAATGCTGTGGTGATCCTTCGGGCGTAAAACGGCCCAGAACTCGTGCTGCCGTGCGAGCCGTGGATGCTTCCCGGAGTGGCATGTGCCCTGTGCAGAGCTTTTTCCACGCTTGCGGACGGCAGAGATGTGGACCGACCCCTAGCGACGCCCGGCTGCGGGAGGTGGATGGCCTTCAACGTCCAAGCGGAATGGGCACCCTCCCAAACCTTGCAGTGTACAGCACAGAAAACATGCTGTTGGTTTTTGTATGGGATGTAAATGTACCCTTCTCCTTGTACAGTGTACATACAGTGATGGGACCTCTTACTAATGCGAAGAAGCTCACAATGAGAGCAACCCCCGTTGTGTCATGGAAGCCCGAAACATTTGCAGTGTTACCGTCAACTTTGCTTCTACTCGGCGGCAATTAGCGGACAGTGAGTGGGCACACATATGCGACCCCTGTTAAAGATAAATCTTCATATTTTGTACAGTTACAGTTGTTCTGTAACTAGTAGCTTGACTTCACTTATTTTTGCTGGTAGTAATTTATTTGCATTGTAATTCAGTACCTACTGCATAGGCATGCTTAGTTAGGGCATGCTAAAATTTCACAAAGTAAATGTTCTGGCTACGAGTCTCTATTGCGCTGTCCCGCGATTTATTCTGCATTTATACAAATGCACCCTAGGTGTGGCAACGGTGCTCGAATGGTCCTCTTAATGTTAAAACTCTCTTGTCCGTCTGTCTTCGTCGTGCAGTTATTGGAATATACTCCGATTTATTTGTGCGCCATTCATTTTGGGAATTTACCTTATGTCGATCAGTTGGTAGGGAGTCAACTGGGCGGCCACTGATTGATAAGTGTTGGTCTTGAAATGTATGTCAAACATATACCTTGTGGTTCCATGGAATTGCAGAGAAGGGTGTGAAGGCTTAATAACATTCTCTGAAGAGCAGATGTAAGTATAACATGTCTTATAAAATTGTTCACTCAAACACTCGACTCTTGTCAACAGCGTCTCCCTATTGCAAGGTCAAGGCGACTCAACTTCATTCAGTGTGCCATTACATTTTGTACGAGGAAATAACAGGTTTAATGAAACCCAGAATCACTCTTTTGAGTCTGTTCTCATATTTGAACCATAGATTTAGCATAAGCATTAAAAGTGTGAAACATTTTCGCAACCTTCGGCTCATGTGGATTATAAAAAAAAACGTGCACGTGATGTACAAGCAAAGCTTCTCAATGTATATGGAAGGATGTGCTGGATCGACCGTACAGGACCTCTGTATGCATCTTTTGGGGGTCCAAGCTAATCGGTCATTATTTTGAATGCTCTAAACCATTTAAAATTAAGGAATGAGCCAAGTCACGAACAAAATGAAACTCTATAACAGAGCTGCGCAAAGTAGGGCTCGCGAGGCCCAGTAAAGCCTAGTCGCTGGTATCTTATGCCTGAAAAGTATGTGCAACTATAGAACCATGATAGAACCTAGTGGCATAAGACATAAGGGCCCCGGATGGCACCCCGGGCCCTCATGTCTTTTGTCCCCCCCCCCCCCCCCCCCCTTCACTCCTCGCGATTGCAACCAACAGGTAAAGCGGGGGGGGGGGGGGATGTACTGCGAGAGGTGGCACCCCCCCTACATGACTGGGGTGTCTGGTACCCCCCCCACCACTGATAGAACCTACAGTGAATATTTTGGACAGAGTAATCTAGCTCGTCCTTGGCGTGGCTGGATTATATTTGCTCGGTTTTGTAGGTTCAGCGAAAGCGCACAAGGAGTCGGAACGCATGCAAGATGGCGTCAACGTAACGGCATTTTGTCTCACGACTCGAGGCCGAAATTGGCAAGCCTAGTCGATGCAGTCAGCCTTTGGATATAAAACAAGCAAGTCGGCTATCAACGCAGCCAGGAATTAGCCCAAAGAAAATTGTAAATTGTTTTAGAAAAGTCACGCTTAGTTGGAACTTGTTATATTACACATCCGAGCCATGGTTATGGTTGCAGTTGCACTTTGGAGCAAATTTTGATCATAGGCTGCGAATGAGCACCGAAAATTGTTAGGAAGACATACTTGAAAGGTGCATGCAGGCCAAAGTGCCTGCCTACACTTTTCAAGTTTGTGCGTTCTGGTAGTTGCAAATGTAGACGCATGGATCGAGAATTATAGTTTCACCCATTGGCATCGCAAGGGGGGGGTTGCAGTGGGCTGCCGCTCTGGGTGCCGCTGATCCGCGACGCCACTGGTTTCACCTTGTTGCAGCAAATTTGAGCCTCCTCGGTCAGCACTAATATGCCCGTTGGACTTCATCCAAGTTTCACACGCTACCATCTTTTTTTTTGCTTTTGAAATGTTTCACTTTAGCCTCTGCAGGCACGCGATTACCTTTCAGTAATTTAAAAGAACATGCATCTGAAGTTATACCTCTGAAACCCCATGCAACAGTAGCCTTTCTATCCAGCCACTTCTGAAAAGGTGTGTGCGTACAAACAACCCTTGTTAAGCTGGCCAAGAGGCTCAGGGAGGGTCTTCAAGAACAAGGCAGAAGGTTCGTGTGCTCGGGAAAAGTCCCCGCAAGAGCGTGCCCAAATACAGTTGGCATGTCTGTCATGCTTGTACTATTGAAGTCCCCGGTTTAGAGATGCTGAGAGCATCGTTGAAAACTCCCTGGCGCTGAACACCCTTGTACCACACACACCTTCAGGCTTCTTGGGCACCATGCAGAGAGGGAAATGTAACGCAACAAACACATATTTGCAAATATTTTTATTCTACACTCGCTTCCATCTTTTGAGGAACGCCCGTTCCTCCGAGATTACAAAAGTGTCGGCCTGCCATTTCGGCCTGCTCTTTTCCGAGGGATGTTGGAAGGCCCGCCTTGCCGCTCCGGCATCGGCAACCCCCCGGCTCCACGTTGGAAGTTTGTGGGGGGAGCGTCATCGCTCCCGGAGCAGAGTCGGGCCAAGGTCGGTCAGGGCCCAGCCAGGGTGGGCCCAGCCTAACCTCATCCACCCCCGGGCATCGGGCAGCTCATGGTGCCTGCAACCACGGGCAGCAAGGGTGAGACAGGAGCAAATAAAACGGGAAATCTGAGGCGACAAATGGGGCCGAGGAATGGAGACGACAGTGCCGAATGCAGTCTTCCTTGGTTAGACTTGGGAGAATTCGCTATTTTGAAACGGGGGGCCTTATCAACAGATGGTAAAATACCTAACCACTGCCATCCCAGACTTATTACATAATCCTGACAAAAGTTGAGACTGGGTAATAAGCTGAAGTCAAATTGTGGGCTTGCCAGCTTTTCCTGTACAGTTGAAAGACCGCCATCAAAGCTGCTATTGTGTTGGTAAAATTTGACGTTGGGCAGTAATTGGTACGAGAAAAAGTCTGAAGACACCTAAGCACTTCTTATGAGTTGTGAGTGTGAAAGCATGAATCTCCGACGATGTGGATGCTAGAGACGGCGCCATGTCTGTCGTCGTCGGCGAGACGAGCAGAAGCCTCCGGGCGCGCGCCAACGCCTCCCTTTTAACTGACGCAGGGCCCGTAGAATAGGAGGTGTTGCCCGTAGTGGCATGGGGTTGTGGTGGTTAGTTTTATCGGTGCGCCGGCGGCACGGACACGCAGCGCCATCTGGCGGCAGTCGTTCAAACTACGCGTGCAGCGGCCAATGGGAGCCTCGTCGCCGCACGCCAGCCGATGGGACCTTTGGGATCGGGGAAACTAGGTGCCGTCTTCGCGCTTCAAACTGGTGACGTCGGCTCGCTCCATGGGACAGTTAATGCTTTCGCATGAGAAAGGTAAAATGCACTAGTCGGTGTTGGTACTTGTGCTAACTATGTTGCGTAGTCTGCACAAATTTTCACTATTTTGATGTTATAGAGGCTTTGCACACTCGCAAAATTACAGCCGCCATTACTGACCTTCTCTTGTCTTACCGAGATGCCGAGCAGCTGAAACGGTACTTGACGATCCTCTACAAAGGCCGATGCTTTAGAAAAGGACACAGTTGAATCTAATATGGCAACAGCCTGGCCTGCTATGGTAATGATGAACTGAAATAAACGAAATAATAAGACGAAACAAAAACTGAAGGTCAGTTATGGCGGCGTCCATGCACAGCTGCTGCAAAGCGTCTATAGAGGCTGGGCGCTTGCTCCGTCAGTTTTGTTACGGAGAGTGAAAAAGGGCAATATAAAAGATGAGCAAATTCAAGCCTCGCAAAATGTTTAGTTTACTGCATTCTTGAGAAGTTTCGTGGACATGACGAACAGTTCTTACAAGAACTTGCAACTGGGCTAGCTGGTGAATGTTATGAAGCATGGTGCGAGGCACCTGGATCTGGTGTGTCTTCTTCCTTCTGTTCATTGTTTTTTCTTGTGCCTTGCACCAGGCTTGAGAACAGTTGTTAGTTCTCGAACTGACCACAGTACAAGCGGTCAGTACTTTGGTCCACTCCGGGATACAAAACTCGTATCTGGTACTTCGAAGCAGGCAAGGGGGGTGCCGAGGGGATAGCGCAGCATTCGTGCCTTCTGTGTTGGGGATGAGTGGACCTTCAAACATTCAATCTTTTAGTCGGGTAATATTCGATTCACAATGTATTTCCACAACTTGAAATATTAGAAAAATATTAACAGCATATAAAAAATAATATGGGAATCTGTCTGGGGAAATGTGTCTGGAGGATACTGGGAGTCCATTTTGCAAAGCTGTTAGCGAAGTACACGGGGCAACAGGGGCACGATGCTTGGTAAGTTGGGGTATTGGGACCGTGTGAAGGCAGACAGAGGTGCTGTGGCCACACTGTGCACAAGCAGTTGATTTTACACCATCGCAGCCTCCGTGTTCCCTTTGTGAAATTTCCGCGACAACAAGTCGCGGCTCTCTTACCGCTCGACTACAGCAGAAGGCTCAAAACTCCGTCGCTGGCGCAGATATATAAATATACTGGCACAGCTTTTATCTCGCCTGATTTCTCTTTTAGTTTGGCTCATATTTACCTTCCCTGGTCGTAACTTTACCTGCCGCTCCTAAAGTATAAAGGGGTGGTTAATTGAACTCAGGTTGAAAGCCTCCGCAGTCAGTTTCTGCGAGCGAAGTTAAACTTTTGTACTCGAAGCGACACGGATTTCCCTGCCATTAGGCAGGGACGCTAGGTACTTCCTTGTCCCCATGGAGCTGGTCAGGTGACATAAAAATCCCTCTTGGCCGCGAGATGAGCAAAGCGCCCCTGGCACACAGACACCTTTCGGGCATGGAGGAACTCACCGGAGTCAACGCTGCTGCCAAATCCACCCATGCGTCGCCTCGGAGGCGGTCCTGGCGGTCTACGAACGAAAGGCACATTGAAATAACATCGAGGAAAACTCCTCTCTCGTGCATTCCTGCCTGCCTTCTGTGGACTAAGGTTAGGGTGGAATCGCGCATGCGTGGAACAGCTAGGGAGATCGGTCTATTCTGCATTGGTCACCGACTGTACGGTGACACATTTAGAAAGGTGCGTTGGAATATGTTACCTCCGTCCCGACGACCCAGAGCCACCGTATCTGGAGCCAGAAGACCTAGAATTATTACTATTGTCCAGCTGGAAGGAAGAAGAATAACTTGTTGGCACAACTGGAGTTCTGACATTGGGACGCCTAGAGTGAATCTAAGGAAGCACTCTTAAACAACATGCTTCATCCGCACGACAGTGTCACGCATTTGTTTGTAGCTTCCAGTCACATTCTGACCGCTAATAGAGTCTCTGTGGTGCAGCTATGCATGCTAAACGCAGGGACGAGCCAACTTGAGCACACGCGTTGAATAAAAATGATTCATACGTCTCGAACTTACCATAAACAAGGTCTGGAAGCTGTAAAGTAAAAGAAAGATGGCATTTAGACTAAATTGAAACCACACAAATGAACCAAATGCCCATAAGTGAGGTACTATTCTGCCTCTTAGAAAACTATCTACCGCCTCTAAGAAAATTTTATGAACTGAATGAGCACGCATAGCTAATAGAAAAGGCAAGATTCTAGCCACATGGTAATCAGCAGCAAGAGGACCGAATGTCCTTGTGTCTCCCTCGTATACTGTAAACAACCCAAGTTCCACAAACTTTTGGATTTGAAAAATGTTGCAAAACCTTGATTACGTAAATAGATCACATCGCGGTGACAGGTATTTACTC